AATGAACATCTCAGGCAACCTATAATGCATCTTCCTAATATTTCTCCACAGAGCGGCAGTGTAAGCAGGCCTAGGGAGCCAGGATGAAATGTGGCCCAGTCTCTGGGTCGACTGACATCAGTGTAACATTTGAAAATGTCAAGTAGGATATGAAAGGAGTGTACCTCACTGCTAATGAAACGGCAAAATGTTAGTGCTCTACTATTATAATATATATACCACACTGCTATAGAAGTGGAGTCAGTACAGTCAGTGAATGTGTGTGTGCGTGTGTGTGGGGGGGGGGGGGACGAGGTGGGGGGGGTTTACACAAGGTTAAAACTAAATTTTTTTTCGTTTGTGTGAATATCACGTGTGTATGTGTGTGTGTGTGTGTGTGGGGGAGGGTTTGAAGGAGGGTTACACAAGATAAAAAGTAAATTTGCAGATGTCTATGTCACTCCCAGTATATACTACTACGTATTATATACCTAGAAAAAGAATTCTAAAGGGTATATATTTGTATTCTATTCCAAGATGAAAGAACTAAATGTTCCTTAAAAATGCTTCACAAAGAATTACCAATGTTGCGCTCATAAATCAATGCTTATCACGGAAAGTAAAAAAAAAAAAGGATGGAGATAGAAAGGCCTCTAAAAAAGGAAATTATTTGACTTAAGGGCTTTCAACATTTCTTGTTTTAAGAAGTATTAGTTCAATGTATGACAGCAGAAACACATCTGCACGCTGTGGCCAAGGTATAATATAAGGAAAAGATCAAGATGACTGATGTTCACACTACTCAGTGTGCAAACACTCAGAAAACAACTTCACCAAAATGTCAGCCAGGTGATAGCGTGAGGAAGGACTCAGACAATTGAGGCAACAGGGTGGAGCTGAAAATAACTTAAGATCTAAATATATATATAACATACACAGCTCTTGGCTATTCTATCTGAATAAACAAAGTAATCAACTGCTGTTTCTTTTACGTAATAAATAATCTTGTTTGGTTGTGTTTGGACAAACGTGAACTTTCTGCAGCATGTCATGTATTAAATACAGCTAAACAAGTCTCCATATAGAAATTCTTCAAATTAATCTTTGCCACATATACAGTATATAACTCCAATACTCTCCAAATGTGACACATATACTGACTTCAGCTTTCTATAACCTGCCACATACACTCCCATATACTCTCTCTGACCTGCCACATATACTCCTACATAAACTCTCTGACCTGCCACATATACTCCCATATATACTCTCTGACTTGCCACATATACTTCTACATAAACTCTCTTACCTGCCACATATACTCCCATATACTCTATGACCTGCCACATTTACTCCCATATATACTCTATGACCTTCCACATATACTCCCATATATACTCTCTGACTTGCCACATATACTTCTACATAAACTCTCTTACCTGCCACATATACTCCCATATACTCTATGACCTGCCACATTTACTCCCATATACACTCTCTGACCTGCCACATATACTCCCATATACACTCTCTGACCTGCCATATAAACTCCCATATATACTCTCTGACCTGCCACATATACTCCCATATATACTCACTGACCTGCCACATATACTCCCATATACACTCTCTGACCTGCCACATATACTCCCATATACGCTCTCTGACTTGCCACATATACACCCATATATACTCTCTGACCTGCCACATATACACCCATATATACTCTCTGACCTGCCCAGATACTCCTACATATACTCTCTGACTTGCCACATATACTCCCATATATACTCTCTGACTTGCCACATATACTCCCATATATACTCTCTGACTTGCCACATATACTCCCATATATACTCTCTGACTTGCCACATATACTCCTACATAAACTCTCTGACCTGCCACATATACACCCATATACACTCTCTGACCTGCCACATATACACCCATATATACTCTCTGACCTGCCCAGATACTCCTACATATACTCTTACTTGCCACATATACTCCCATATACACTCTCTGACCTGCCACATATACTCCAATATATACTCTCTGACCTGCCCAGATACTCCAATATATACTCTCTGACCTGCCACATATACTCCCATATACACTCTCTGACCTGCCACATATACTGTAACTCCCTCATAAACTCTATAACCTAGCATGTTTTCTACGTCTTACTATATGTCTACCATATTTCCAGTTCCACATTACTATGTATAGCAATGTAACATTTTCTAGAAAAAAATCTTGAAAAAAGATGAACTTTATAATAAGCAATTTTGCTTCCTCTTACATTTGAATTTGAACCAAAACCCTCCTTGCGGCATTAAACATGTATGCTATCCAAATCATATTGCTTCGACTTAGGACTCAACAGCTTTGCCAATCAATATTACCGCTTAATTGGAGTCATTACCTTAATGATAATTACCACGTTTAACACCATATGTTTCGGATATGAAAGCCAGAATATTATACTCACTGGGCTTTTAATTGTTTTGATCACTGATGCATCTAGTAAAAATGAATAAAAAAGAAAACAGTACTGCACTTTTATGCCCTGCCAGGAAATTTTACTTGCATGTTTATGACTGAAAAATGGCCAAGCTATAAACACTAACAGACACAACTAAAAAGCTCATTTTCTGGTTCTTTTCATCTTAACTGTAATGATTTTCATACCATGGGAGAAGGAAATATATGCTATTTCAAAAAAGACAGAGAGAGAGTGGTAAAATTTCTTCTACATTTCTAAAAAATATATTTTATTTTATTTTGTCACTTACAGTGGCTGCAGTTACAGCCATTTCCTGTGTTTAAAACATTGAATGCACTGCTCAGGTGTCAAATAAGCAATTCAATCAGATCTCTGACATTAAATTCCCCCAGGGATGTTCCTTACCTCAACCCCCTTTGTACCACAACCAACACATCTCTCTTGTTAAATGAATGAACTTCAATTCAAGACTTCAGTTCAAAACTGTAAGCAAACACTAAGGCTAACAGACAGTTGGTTGCTGATAAAACTTCATTAAAGGTTTCAAACTACTGACATGCAGACCGGGTTAAGTATTATTTATTACTTAATTTTTTTTTTTTTTTTCCTACCACCTCTTCCCTAACGTGTTTCATGCAGCGATTCCTGAATAAATGGTTGAATCATGGCACATTTTGACCTCATCTCCCATAAATGTACTCTGGAGTAATAAATTTGTCATGATTTGATCTCTAAGGGCAATTTTTTCAACATGTTCTCTTATGAATTGGTCTGAATGGAGAAAGATGAAAAACTGTTATAATATGGGAAACGAGAATATTGGCAGGAAGGATACTTTGCAAATTTGGAAAAAAAAATTTTTTTTTATTTTTAAAAAGCCATGAAAAAAAAAACATTCTATGCATCCTAGTGAATAAAGTACCCCTGTACTTAACAATGTATATTTAGAGCAGTAACAAATCCACGACTGCTGTGGAAAGCTAAGCTGAATGATTTTGATAAGTCTTCATTGCATATAATGTCCAAATAAGTACCTATAAAAATGACATTTTTTGTTAATTTATGTATTTCTGGCATTACCTGAGGGGAAAACACAATTTTACTGTGATGAGTGACAAAGCCGACAGAATCTGGCTATTAACAAATCTGATCAAACTCGTAACCTTCCTCATAGTGCAGATTGTTTTCAGACGAATTTTTTCACTTTACCGAACAGGTCATTACTGCTCAGACGTGTCACAAATCATCAATATATAAGTGGCAAATAATACCATACTTCCATTATTACATTGACCTCTAAGTCTACCTTTCCCTGGAATTTGGTTATAAATCTTTAATCATCCTGCCTAGCACTGAGAGGATCCAGTGTTACTTTACTGAATCAAATAAAAAGTGAACTACAAAGGATATCTTTCTGAGTATTATTTATCTATTTATAATTCATTTATTGCTAATGTAGTATTCAACACAGCTGCATAGTATAAAGTAACAAAAAGAACAGAGGATCTTGATTTTTTATTTCTTCAATTTTTTAAAATCTTTTTAAAAATCTTTTTTAAAATTTAATTATCTTTCCACATACATTATGTTTTATCTATCATTTTAAAGCTAAATGCTTTTAATTTAAAAAAAAAAAAAAAAATAACCCGAAGAACGCAACTGAAACTTTTTAATTAAAAAAAAAAAACATAACTCTAAGAATACCTTATTTACTGGTGATTGAACAAGTTTATAACCAATAGCCTTCTTAGGTCCAACATATGTACTCCAGTCAGCATACAGGTGTTCATAACAATACATTATCTCATGATCTGCCAATACATGCGTGGGAGCAAACATTCACAACTAGTCTATCAACACACCTATGAAAGATTATACATCAACTATTTCAACATTTGTTTTGTCATAACACTGCATGATTTCTTATCAACACATTACAAATTAGAAAATATAGGAAAAAGACAAAGTGATATGGGAAGGGGGGTAAGATGGAGAGATGTAAAAATGTTTCCTGTGAAAGCAAAAGCGAAAATGAAAATTTCACAACACTTTCAGTACAAAATCTACTTCCTAGTCACCCTCTAAATTGACGGTTTTTATTTCTATTGTTCACCCAGCTTAATTACCGTCACAGTATGGTCTAACAATTAACACTATTACAAGTATTGATTTGTTTTGGTTTTCATTCTTAAGCTGAAATTATCCTGATAAATGGGCTTATGCTAATTTAAACCACAACTATATATAACTTGAGCTTTTTTTATAAAATGTAAAATACATTCTTTTTTATTTTTATTTGTATTTATTTTAGTTTGATTTTTTACAAACTGAGGCAAAAAGAATAGAATTTATTTACACATACTACTTGAACTGACTTAAAACCCAATGTATAAACGTGATACAACTTCACACAGCCTAACACGGAAGCACAAGTTACAGTGTGAAAATCCAAGATAAGAATTCCGTATTGATGTATTGCATGTCGCTACAGCCTGCCGTGTATGGAGACACTCACCTTAGCGTACATCATGTGCCGAGGATGTTGGTGAGCGTCGTTGTCGGCCATGATTACTGCCAAGTTCCGCATAATTCAAGCAATTGCCTAAAACTACGTTACAATCAAAACCCGCAGTAAAAGGAGGTCATCAGCCCGTTCAGGAAGCAGAGCGGCACCGGTGGCATGAGACCCCAACCACAACATCCCGCTCTGTTTAGATTATTCCAAGTCACATTGACTGCGAGAAGATGCGAGACTCGTCTGCTTATTTATGATATGATTATTGTTAAATCAGGTGGTAATGCTTGGCTTTATTTTGATTAAACAATCTCTCTGATAATAAAACAGCTATTAACACTGGATTCGAGTGAACTGAAATACTTTATATTTCAAATTAAAATTTCCCATCTACCATTGCGACCAAACGACCGCCATTTTCTTTTTTTGGTGTATCGTGTGCCGGCGGCTTTGTCCACAAAGACATTTTATTTTAACAGACTGTAACAATTACAAAAATGACAGACAAACTTGATATGAGCCTTGATGATATCATCACACAGAACAAAAAATCTGGACGAGGTGGAGGAAGAGGTAGAGGCAGAGGCGGTCAACGACGAGGCGGCGGTGGTGGTGGACGCGTCGGTGGCGTGCGAGGCGGTGGTGTACAAAAGAGAGGTGGACGTGGAGGGGGTCGACCAACTCCTTACCAGAGAGTGAGTGTGCTGCTTCGTTTATTCATAGACTATATGAGAATATCTGTTCCCTGCTGAGACTGAATTTCGATTATTCTGCCCCCTTTGCCAGCCTCTGGGCCTCCTTCCATTATCTTCTAACGTTCACTTCTTTTGTTTTAACATAAACTGTTTTCTGGAGGAGGATTGTATTCGGTTTTAAATCTTTGTCTGATAAGTATGAGAAGCTTCAGGCCTTTGACTTTGACTTCACAAGCATCACTTCACAGTACATATGGATAGATCACTCTTCACCAGCATGCTTTTACTCCTAAAACACTTCCAACTGCTGAATTCTGTTGGCAGTACATTAGCCTTAGATATCTTCTGTCTCTTTCACTTCTTTTCATGTTTTCCATATTAATTTGTTAATTCAGAGCAGAAACCATTAGGGGGAAACTGTGAGTACATGAAAACTGTGTTATCGCATACAAATTTGATGGATCAGAGGATTTGATAGGGTCATTGAACCAGATGATATGGTCATGATCAGATGATCAACAGCAAATGATAATCACTGAGTTTTTCAGCAGTCAGCATTTTATGAAGTTTAAAGATCTACATGTAATCAGAAAAAAGAGGGGTTTTGGTCATAGAAATCATTTTCACCATTATCTTTAGCAATATAATTTGGTTGCTGTTTTATATGCATACTAGTAACTACCAGTTCTTATTGCCCAGACTGTTTAGTAGAAAACTAGTGTTTTTTATACCCCCCTCCCCCCTTTTGAAATGTCACAAAAAAGGTTAATGCATTAAGGATCCTGTCAATATTATTAATGTCTGATTTCTCCCTAGGGCTATGTTATCTATGTCTCCTGGCTTCATAATATATACATAGGCTCTAAAATATTGAATGGAACAACTCGGGTATAGAATCAAGCCTTTTATACATCTTCAAAATGTGTAGCTATGAACATTGATACAAAGGGCAGTGAAAGGCTATAAAATTCAATATGAAAACAGCAAATCATTAATATCATCAGAGGCTATATTAATTTCTATCTGATAATGGCTTTGGGATTAGTTGTCCATTTGTTGAATTATTTATTTTGGCAGCTATCTTCTCTCTCTCTCCATCTCTCTCTCTCTCTCTCTCTTTCTTTCTCTCTCTCTGCTGAAATGTGATTTGTTTATTATGCATTATAACCTGTGGTATATTGTAGCCCAAACAGATGCCAGATGTCTGGCAACATGACCTATTTGATGGCGGTGCAGGAGGGATGAAGAGAGGCGGCGGTGGACTACAAACACAAGGAGGCGGGTCTGGAAAGTTACTGGTGTCTAATCTAGATTTTGGAGTAAATGACTCAGATATTCAGGTGAGCTGAATACCAGAATACTTACCATCTTTGGTAAATTAATCTTGATGTTGTTATTGTCACACCTAATGAAATGTCAGATCGGACACATAAGCAGAATTTACACCAAAATAACAGAAAACAGAAAATGTCTATATTGATTGTGTTAAGTTGTTAACCTATGACCACTATTCATAAACATTTCTGTTCCTAGGAATTGTTTGCAGAGTTTGGTCCACTAAGAAAAGCAGCTGTCCACTATGACAGGTCTGGAAGGTCACTTGGTACAGCAGAGGTCATCTTTGAAAGACGGACGGATGCAGCAAAAGCAATGAAACAGTATAACAATGTTCCTCTTGATGGTAGGTTGTGATAGAATAGTCATGTCGTATTTAGCAGGATTAACTAAAACCTTTTTATAATTTTCATCCCATTTATACCTAAGTCACAATCTTTCTTATTTAAATGCAATGTCAGCCTGAATAGATGTAGACCAACAATTCTCATCAAACTGCTATCTGTTAAGTGAACAAGAGACGATATGGAACCAAGTTTTCCTTCAATATGCTATCTTATTGATGACTGTGGATTATTTCATTACATTCTCAGAAAACAAGCCACAAGACCAAGCTGAAGTTAAACTGTCTTCCACAGTGATATTATTGCAGATCTTATATATCTTTATATATATAAACATATCCCAACAAACCTTACTATTTCAGGCAGAGTCATAAGCATACAGACTACAGTTAAACTGTGTCCCTCAATAACTTTTTGTAAAATCTTGTATATCACTATATTTATATCCCAACAAACATCACTGTAATTCAGGCAGGGTAATATTAGCATACTGACTCGAGTTAAACTATTCCACAGTCATTTTATATAAATTTTATATATCTATATATTTATATATAACCCCACAAACCTCACTGTACTTCAGGCAGGGCCATGAGCATACAACTGGTAGGAGCACCCGCAGCAACACAAACACCCCAGCAGAGGTTAGGGGGAGGTGGTAACTATGGCAACAGACCTAGAGGAGGCGGAGGCTTTGGCAGGTAAGCAAAGAGAAATCTGAATTAGTGTATGTGTGCTGGTATAATATATATTTTGTTGACCCATGGCTCTAAGTTTGGATCACTGTGAATTTTACTTGCATATGTATAAGCACATGTTTGTGAAATTTAGGCATTATAGGTCCCTTTTCAGGATGAATTTATGTAAACTATATTCTCACATACATTACACCACAGTAAATTTAAACATTCTAGATCCTATTTGGAAAGTGTATAAATTGTTTTTGCTAGGCGTGGTTTCCGTGGCGGCCAGGGGCGTGGTGGTGGTGGTGGACGAGGCAGGGGAAGAGGCGGACGTGGGGGTCAGAATCGCAAAACACCTACAGCAGAGGAATTAGATGCACAGTTGGATGCCTATAATGCTAAGGTTAGCTCACAGCCAAGACATGGCCCCATGGTATAGCACCCAACACATGGTATAGCACCCAACAGGGCCTGCTGTTTAAATACCACTTGCCTTGAATTATTATTATTATTTTAATTTATTAATTTTTATTTTATTCTAATTTGATTTATTTTATTCAATTAAATATTTGTAACTGGTTCACATAATGTATTGAATACATTTAGTTTTCCCTTAAAAGTCGGGTGCCTTTTGGTCAAGGTCAATAATATTTACAAATTCAGTTCTTAAAAAACAATTGTCTAGAAAAGGAAAAGTGAAAGGTAATTGATATACTAGTTTTTGATGAAAAGCTTCTTTTTTTTTTTTTTTACTATGACTGGTATTTCTGTTTTCAGATGGATGTAGAATAGCTGTGAGAGTATTCCTAGGGACATTTGACATATTCCAGTAGCAGCTGCAGACGAGATAGTTTCCTCTTTCACTGGCAAACTCACTCTGAACTCCAGACTCATAAACTGTGACCAACTAGAGGCAACATTTTTATAGAAACACTTGATCAAGTTGCCTGTGAAGGATTCTATTTTTATGTCCAAATACAGCATTGAGACTGTCCTTCCTTAATTTAAGTGACCAAACTGTGTGTGATGACGTTAATCGTTAATGAAGCCAGGATCTAGAATTCTCAGACAGAATCACAATTGTATCCCTTACCTGGCATGTAGGCTTTCATGAATGAATATTATTTTTAAAATGAAACCTGGACTGCAGTTTTAATGTAAATATTGGTTTTTTTTTACAAAGATGATCACAACAGGAGATTGTTAGGAAAACATATGAAATAGAACAAGACTTTTATATAACATAACTTGTTTCTCTTATTATTATTATTATTTTGTTGATATTTTTTGCAGTTTGGTGGAAGTAAGTGCTGTATTTGACGCTTGTGCATGTCATAAAAACTTAGTTTATGCCTGGATGAACCCTCCTTCCCCCATCAAATTCAAGAAACGAGATTCATTTAATTTTAAAGTATTTATTAATAAAATGCTCTTCCGACGGAGGTATCGGATGAAGGTGAATCGGAGTCGAATGGCAGTTGGTTGACGGAATGCTCATCCTGTTGTTTTAGTCGAAAGTCAGGCGGGGTTCCATTTTGTCCACGTGACCTGTGTCGTCTGCTATCGCTGCCCCACCAATTCCCAGGGTTGAAGTCGGCCTCCTGGTCTCTGTACTTGTGCCACAAACAGTCACTGTTGTACATGATGCACAAGAGGGTGGAGAAGACCGCGAGAAGGGTCAAGATAAAAGTGACAAGAGACGTTGTTAGGACAAGTTGAAGGGAATACATCGTGTCCTCGGGACAGCCGCTGCAGCGCCCTGGCTGAGTGGCACTGGTGTTACTGAAGACTTTGGATTTCTCGGTGTCGTCGGTGAGACTGGAAGATGACAGCGTCCAGTTGATGGAGACGATGCTTTCATTCAGTTTTGCTGGAGAGGAATTCTTGTTTTTTAAATATTTTATTTTTAGATAACTTATCGAGAAATTCCTAAAATAAAAACTATGTGCTCTTATGCACTGATACCTAAATGGAAACGAAACCTTCGGTTTCTCCTGATGTAAATTGATCATAGTACTGAAGTTTTAAAACTTTTGTTTACTTCTGTAAAATTAAAATGACATTACAATTTAAACTTATAACCCAAAATTTGTCTTAATAAGAGATTTTCAATTGAATGTAACTTTGTGTACAACTAACCTGTAATATATTCTTTCTCCCCGGTTTCAATTGTATTAACATGTTCGACAAAAAGCAACGATGCCAAACTAATACAACCGATAACAGCACACAACACGGAAATAAATATCAGAAAGTCCGACCGCCGATTTACCACTATTGTTTCCATGTTCGGGATTCATTCTGCAACCAATAACAACGGCACGTTTATTACGTCACAGAACGGGTGCGCTGTCGGGACTTTCCCTTGAAACCCGACATTTTAATTTGAAAATTTAATGGTCTGTTTGTGATTTGAGGACAGAGTAGACGAGATTATTAACTTATTTAGACTCGATATCAAGAAGAGTTTTTAAAGAAGAATCTCGATCACCACTTGTCACACGTAAATACAGTATTTATGACGTCATTAACAATTTCAATTATTTACGTCTGTGACATCATCATGACGTCGCGTTGTCGCCATGATTCCAACTGCAATACTACCAAAACTCGCAGGCATGGATTCAGAAATTCGCCGCATGCTTTTTCTGAAAACCCGTGCTTACGTACAGAACCGACGAAAGCTTGTGCGTTTTCACATGCCTTTCCACGTCCACCGGCCAACTGACCTGGAGGAGGGGCTAGAACTACTGGCCATAGAGGGCTATACAGCAGACCCCACCGAGGAGTCCGACGTCTGGGTGGAAAGCGATAGTGACGAGGTGCCGTCAAATCTGGTCCCCTTAATGTCACGGGAAGGTACCTAAATAAGTTCTCTCTTCTAACCCCACCCTCTCTCTCTCATTTTCTCTCTCTCTCTTTCTCTTTCATGATAACGATTAGGTCGATAAAACGAATAATGGGCGTTTTATGCATCAAACCTTACTGAAACTACTTTGTAAAAGAGACAAGTCCGTGTTATTAATATTCTGTCATATTTTCAGTCGGACCATTTTCAAAATGACGGGACGTTTTTGTCTCGTCAACAGAAGATTGGCATCTATGTCAATTTTTATGCTCGGATTACCATTTCAGAATACTTTTGGGACTTTGTGTATGCCTTCATGGAAGATGATGAAAATTCTATACGAATTGGTGACGGAATCTTGTTACGCAGACTATTGCAGCATCTGTATACACTGGAGACCGAGGGACTCGTCCGGAGATATGAAACTTCCACCTTCGATGAAATATACCGACAACTACCGAAAAGTTGTCTCAAAACATCTTCTTCATTCAATGTTAGTATAAAAATCGAACATACGTACTAGTTTGTTTGCCCATACCAGTCTTTTTGTTTAATTGTTTAATTTACGAAAGCTTTTCTGAAAAAAATGTTAGAGAGAAGATTAAAATAATTCTCCTTTACAGATCTATAGCTAAAACTAAGACATTGACACTGATATTATCACACCAAAATACTACTAAAACAGTTTGCTAAGTAATGCATTCAAGGCGACGAAAAGAAAATGGATTATTTTGTTTGTATTTTCTCTCTAATAAGAAAAAGATGGTCTTGGGTGGCTTGCAAAATGTAAGTTACATATTAAGTTTTCGGCATGGAATATAAAAGGAATTATGCCCTCGACTATCATAAAAGATGAAAGAAAGGAAACTATATATTATAAAGTACATTTTTCATTTAGTTTTCCTTTCAACACAATTCATTTCGGGGTTATGTGTAATGAGTCTTTCTTTCTTATCTTTCTTCCCCTTTTTATTTTTATTATCCATTAATTTCTTCTTTTTTTGACGCCCAAAATACATCATATTTTCAATTCTTTCTTTCTAATTCTAGGAATTGGAAGACGTGACAGAGAAATGCAAGATCACTTTCGTTTACTACGGCAATACACAACACCGCCGCTCCTCAACACAGCAATGGGCCGTGGTCACAGCTGACCGGCTGCAAGCAGAGGAAGGAAAGAAATACATTTCTTCAAGCTTAGAGAGCAACCTAGGAACCTCATACAGCCAATCTTCCCGAGGGGTTGAAACAAATCGATTGTCAAGCATTTACCCAAGTAGGGGACGTAATAGCGCTTCAACTGCTCCTCGTGACAGGGAGAAGGGTAGTGATTTCACCACACTGAGCGCTGCTGCTGCTGCAGGCACGTGGAACAAGGCGGATTTCGGCTTTGGTAGACAAATCACCAAGGAGGAACCGAGCAAGCCTCCCTCCAAAGAAACCGTTCTACTGGAAGTTCCATGTTTCGAGTTCACGAGCAGGGAACCTTCCTCCATTGGTGACACCCCGAGCCCACTCTCCTGGAATGAAGGAGAGGAGGGTCAGGCGACGGGGACTGGCGTCCATCATGACTGGACATCACACCTGAACGGAAACGCTGCCTTCCTCCCTGCCACTCACAGCCCTGTTATCACTCAGCGTGGAAACAATGACAGCTCTTCTCTACAAGCAGAACGTGGTTCAAATGCTTCACGAAAAGACACGCCGTCTATTACGTCCGATGATTCTTTATCGGAAGTTTCCAGTCTCTTCGTGCAGCGTACCCCAATCGACTTTAAAGAACGCCTGATTAAGGCTTTGGACGACTTCCTTATTAGAAAAGAACTGGTCACATCCAACAGTTATCAAACAATACAAAGTCTCACTATTAACAAGAAGTTGAAGAGACGGCTATTTTCTTAAATTTCATCTTTAGTGACTTCATTCTCAATTAACAACGGTTCTTTTAAACATTGCTTTTAGCAGTGTTAATTGCCAAATTTGAATATTAAAAAATGAAAATGAAAAATATTGCTGCACTGCAATTCTAACACACTCCTTTTTTTATATTCAACAAAATGCACATTTGTCAATTTATTTGCTAATCTGTAACTCAGTTACTTCAATAAATATAATGTTTATATCATATTACTATAATTAGTCATATAATTTTTGTGACAAAAGTTATAAATGGTTTTAACTGCCAATATGAAAGCCCTCCACTTGAATCTTATAACAGTCAAATTCGTTTTTGGTTACAAATCATGACAAGATGACGGCAGGAGAGGATATATACGTACATCATTCCACCACAACAAGGTGGGATAAATACAGACATGAAACCGTTTTATTCTATAATGGTAACTTATAATTCATACTGCTCATTGGTGGGCTAGGTCCCTATATTTACAGGATTTAATATTGTTTTACATGTCAAGCATGCTCATTCTCTCTTGTCCTTATTCAGCTATGAGATGAACAACATGCTGTCACAGTCAGCAAATGGGAGCTGAGAAATCTATGAAATTACGCAATCAGTGATGTTATGCGAGCTAGGACACAATTTATTTAAAATATAAAATAAATATTTTCCTCATGTGGATAAATTTGTCCTTAAGCTCAACACCAGTTCTGCGTCTTCAGGCGAGAGTTTGAAAACACCAATGTCCTGAAGGGCGTCGCTGGGTTCCTCACTGGGAGCGTTAGGATCTCTGTTCATCTGGTGTAGACTGCGATACAGAACATCTTTAAGGAGAATGGCAGATCCCACATTGATGGTCAGCAATATACAGGCCTCCTTGGTGCTGGAAATAGATATATTAGGTTAAATAAGTCCAATGTACTTTTGTTTTGAAAAAAAAAAAAAAAACACCACTTCCCTTGATATTAGCAAGAAAAAAAAAACAAATGACTTTTATTTAATATATTTAATATATGAGCAATATCACAAAGTATATCTCATCATTAGGTATTTAAAAAAAAACATGACATCTAACTTGCTGACAGTTTAATATTCTAATCAAGATAAAGCATGTCAGGCCCAAACTCACTTTCTGAAGAAGTTTTCTGGTTTCTTTGTGTATGCTCCAAACAGAGGGAACAAATTTCTTGTCATGTCATAGTGCAGCTGAGAGGCACCTCCTTCATTGAAATAATTCTTCAGAATGAGCTGAAATTTCAAAAGATGAAAAAATAAATTCAACAAATGGCAAATAAATAAAGCTTTCAAGAGAAATAATAAACAACATAATAAATATATCACTCCACATAAGTACTGCTCAAAATTGCAATTAATTTAACCTTCAATATGACACAATAACTGCTCTTAATAAGCATTATTCCAAGTGGAAAAAATGTCACTTCAGCAAAATTAAATTATAGGCCAATTTCTCACCTTATCATACAGATACTGGTCCAGTTCCTCGGCTAGCTTCTTCCAAAACAGATTAAATAAAGGTTTGCTGAGCAGCTTCTCAACACTATGAAGATGTTCTTTCAACACTAAGAACATTTCACATGCAGATGGCGACAGGGTGGGGGACGTAAACTCCTTCAGGGAGGGCAGTGACAGCCATCTGAAACATGGGGATAGTTCATGTTGTGTCATTTTTCTCAATTAACAGGCAATCAAATTTCAACATTAATACAAACACATATTCTACAGGTCTTCTTAATATACAATTTAATGTTAGTCAAACAATCATTTGTTCTTAACATCTTAAAAAAAGGAAAAGGTTTCTTGTGGCCCACTTCCAAGTAGCAAAATACCAAAGAATTGAAGTCTGTGATATTTGACTTCACTTATCTAAAGCAGCATTTCACTGTCTGTTGTCTTAGGTCTAGTGCGCAAATGTACCTGTCCTTCCTGTATGGTCTGCTCCTAGCTTTGACATCATCACTGACATATTTGAGAATGATTTTCAACATCTCATTCTTGGTAATCTCAAAGTACTCAATAAGTCTGTCAAACACAGATCCAGTCAGGTCCTCTAGTTTGCTTTCATCAAAGGTGTCTGGCATCTAGTACATAAAAACAAATCATGACTACACTGAAATGTTGTTACTGCAATTATATTACATCTAAAAGAAAAGGAATTCTTACAAAACACAATCTACAAGTAAAATTTTTGTCTTTTTATACTGTACACAGTTTACAAGTGCTTTTTTTAAATCAAGCATCATAAACAGCGTGAGGGGTGATTCTCATAGGGTGCTTACAATCTTACAAGGATAATCAGAGCAGGTTTCACATCAACCACTTTTTTCACAAAAAGAAAAACCAATGAGTTATGCCCTCATTCTGTTCACCTATCTTTACCGACATATTTTGAAAATTTCAAGACTTTATGAGATCAAGTTCACACCTGAAAGTTGCTGGTGGACAGTTCTCCTGTGTCTTCTACTGTTCTGGAAGTGTCAATGTCGTCACCCAGTGGCGCTGGTGACATGGGCACATCTCCCTCTACAGCCTCTGTACTTTGACTCTCTATCCTGAAGTACTGTAGCTGCAGGAAAAACTGGAAAAGAGAGAAATAATGATAATAACCAAAAATTTGCCGATCCTTTTTTGCTTTTGGATCTCAATTCAACTTGCATTCTTTAATTGTGTAAACTTAAGCATCATTCTCAAAAATTTTCTGATGTCAAACTCCCTTATCCATAAAACATAACATTTCCAATGAGTAAACTTAATTGCAAAACATTTTCCTGTCCTTTGTCATCAAAAATTCTAATCACACAGAACTGTTCAACAAGAATTGTTTATAAAAAAGGTATGGGATAATACAATGAGTAAAATTCAAGCCAGAAAGTTGCCAGTCTCTCTACTATAATCCATTTTAAAATCTAAGATATAATAGAGGTACTGACCAGCAACTCACTCCATTCCTTCAGCACCTCTATAATGTAGTTAACAGCATTTAATATTGCACAGTAACACTTATCCAGAGGATTTCCTGTGTTTTCTTGTTCTCGTTTAATCTGCAGCAGTCGTATCCTGAAGTCATCAAGGAGTTCAAGCTCTAATTCCAGGAACCTCAGTTTGCATGTGGGGTAAGGAAGGGGCTTGTAACGATCTGCGAAATGACAAGAATCATTTATTGGTCTGAAAATTGTGGGACTTTGAAATCGAAAATGACTTGCACACTTCCCATATAAAGGGTCAAATAAGATTTAGAGAAAAAATCGTAATATTTCAGGGCAAATAAAATACAGGAAGAATAACAATGTCTTGAAGGAAAAAAATATTTGAGTTATAGGTCACAACCTTGTACATGGATTGCTTCCACATATTAATATCTAAACTGCGCTGTATAAATTCACAATAAAATAGTGATTTTCACCTGTTATAGTGAGTACAAGAGTCAGGAAGGCCTCAGCTGACTCGGGAGTTTTCATGTCGTCCACGTCTGCACTGTACTGAGCCTCCCAGGCGGTAGGGGAGGTCAAGATGGCATCTACCTTCTCTATGGCAACTAGAACATGGAAGAAATCCTACATGATACATTACATATGAATTTTCTTCTTTCATTAAAAAATAGCAATATTTAGGATTTCTTTACATCTCAATGGACTAATCAAGATGACTGATTGCTCATCCAAGGGACGTAAGTTCTAAATTCTTAACACCATATTAATGGTAGGAAAATGACATCAGGAGATGTTATATAATAAAAGAGTAAACTTGACTCAGCAACTGCTTACACTTCTAAATTCTTAACACTATATTAATGAAAGCAAAATAACATCCGGATATGCTTAATATAGCTCAATGTAAACATGACTCAGCAACTGCTTACACTTCTAAATTCTTAACACTATATTAATGAAAGCAAAATAACATCCGGATATGCTTAATATAGCTCAATGTAAACATGACTCAGCAACTGCTTACACTTCTTCTCGATTGCAATCCACTTCTGGAAGGGTTCATCATGGCACAGCACATGCAGGCAGCCTGGCTCACTGTTAGGATAGCCAAAACTATTCCGTAACTCTTTGTCAAAACTCAGAACTTCATCTATGAAATGAGAGAACTGCTGTTCATCAAACATCAACTCTGGAATGTCGACCACCATCTTCTCCAGAACCAGTAGAACTAATCCTCTGGCAAACTCAGCCTGGAACAGATGCAGGTTATAGAACTTATGATATATACTGTAATATTATCTTATCCTTTAAAATGCCCTTTACATTAAGCCACTGACACTTTTTGTATTTTGGTTTAAAACAAGAAGACTTTCAGCACAATTTCACACCTTACACAATGTCAAACCCAGTCACACCTAACACAATGTCACACCCAGTCACACCTAACACAATGTCATACCCTGGAATCCATTGAATCAAGGCCCTCTTTCTTAATAACAGGCTGAACGTTGACTCTGAGAAATTCATTGTGATCTCGAAGCCAGCCAAGAACCTGGGTAAGGTACCACTCAGGCTGAAGGAAATAAGCAGCACTTAGCTTTATCAGTAGTGCAAAGTTGGAAGAAATTAGAATTACATCACTTACATGAATTTCAATATTCAAATACAATGTATATCTCACTCAATAAATTAAAACATATACATGACTATAAAAAGGTACTTTTTCTTGTCTTCTGTGCTAGACACATGTGTTATACCAAAATGTGATTTTGAAAATCTCAATCTTAAAGACATATGCTAATTCCCAACCTTATCTAGACTATTTGTCTGCTTGTTCCCATAGAAATGAAATCTGAACCTCTTCCTGAGAGGTTTCAGAAGAAGCTGTATTGGTAGAGGTATGGGTCTCCACCCTGGCAAAGATCTCAGCACTGGATGCTGCTGCAAGCCCTGATTCTCAGCGTGTAATCCTTCACTGACAGGAGTTAAGAATCATTTTAATCTTAAAAGAACTGTTTTTCATGTCTTTCAGGGTGCAACCTATTGACATTAAGGACATATTCTGTACATATTCACCAGCACATACTGGCATATATAAATCATAGTACAATAAATACAGTGTAGAGGAGTTAAGAATGAATAACTTTAGGATGTTTTTCAGAATGCAACCTATTGACTTTAAGGACATGTTTATAAACTTGTGTCTGTACATATTCACCAGCACATACTGGTGTATAAATTGTAGGAAGATAATTATCAGTTTGTATTTATTTACTCAAAAATTCTAGTGGAATCACAATCACTCTGTTTATATCAATCTTAGGGATTGCAATCAAGCCTGTGCCTCCACAGGTACAGGTGTTATGGTGCTGGTATGCAATGAATTGCTCATCAAACTCAATCGGTTTTAGAACAAGAAATTTTCACCATTTACTTGCAGTTCAGTAAAGGTTGAGAAACTTATGATAAAAAAGCATTACTCCATCATTCAACGTAATTTATAACCACATCACAAAACTAAGAATCTGATTTTTACACAGCTATCACACTGTTCAAGGATACGGTAATCGAAGGAGCAGTAGCTGCCTACACAAGGTTTTGAACTTCCCACTGGCGTTTTGGACCTCTGTCTCCTTGTCTTTCAGTTTCACAATGGCAGCAATGAAAGGCCACCCTAGGGCCTTCAGAACTTCATCAAATTCACTGGTAGAGAGAAGAAAAAATTATTTTTATATTACTGTGGTATGACAAAATTAAGGTTTTGAATATGAAGCAAATTAAAAAGATAATTTGTGCTGTTCATATCATCGAAGGGCTTGTTGGTCATAAAAAAGAAAAATTATTCAAAGGATTAAAGATACTACAAATTTTAAAAGATCCCGTAAAAATCGGTTGGAATCTATGTTATAAAATGTTTTGGAATTTATCTCATAAAAACAAGCTAGAATCTTCTTATAAAAATGTTTGAATATAGCATACCCAGAAAGTCGGTCCCTAAAAATTTTGTACCAGAAAAGCAATGTATTTTGTGAAAACTTGACAAGGTTTTGGCAGCTGGAACTTTGAAGATACTGAACTAATCTTCCCATCTCTGCAAACTGTGCTATGGATTGGTCGACGTTCTCTATTATAAGGGCTGTTTGAATTTCAGAGCTAAAAACATAATGGTTACATTAATCTAAATAAATATATAATTTAAGTGCTAAACAATACTTCTTGGACAGCATATTGCATTAATAACGTTAATCCTCTTAAAATTTCAGAGTTTACATTATAGTAACTATAACATACTACTTTACCTAAATGGTGGAAATTGGCAGAATGATTTTAGTAAATAAACCTTTCACTTATTCACAGTCATTTTTACTGTCACCACCCTAAAGACAACACACATGTATGAAAAATGTCCCCTTCAAGATCTATTTACCTCAACTCTTCTATTTTTACAATCCATTGTAGATATTTTGCATATTTTTCTAGTTCTTCAACTTGTGTAGTCAGTTGTGATACCCTAAATATGATGGGTTCAACCTGGCGGTTGTGTTCCAGGATTGCATCCCTCACTTGTTCCTGCTCAGCAGAAAGTGAAGCAATTCTGTTTCTGGCCTCTTCAGCATCCTTAACAGCAGTCCTGATCTTGCTGGGAACTTCAGAGCTTTTAAGGGAAATCTGGTAGGAGATATTAAATCTAGAAAGGTGCTAAAACAGTATGCTACAAATGTTTGAAACTGTTTTGTCTAAACCCTATGTCTAAATGTTTTGCAACTCTACCTGTCTTTTCAGATCTCAAAAAATATTGTTGATCCTTCCCTTTGAAATGTCAGGCAAAAATGGCAATTTCAGCGAATCAAGACTAAATTTGAAACATGGTTAAAAGGAAAAACTCTACATTTCAGTCAGAACAATAGATGAAATGAAACCTCTCCCGTGCATTTAACACATGAATCTGCATACTGCTGTGACATCTGTCAGCACTGCTGACGTTGCCAAGACTCAAGAGCGGTGGTTTACTCAGCAAAGTTAAATAATGCACTTAATTACCTGCGATTCCAATAATTCTTTTGTATGCCTCAACTTTTCGCGAACTTCTCTGACTTTGCTTAAACTTTTGACATCTTCAGAGAATTCAGAATTTATGAAATCCATGATCTCATTTTCTACCCTGTTTTCCCCAATGGGGGCTGACATGTTGGATTGCATCTAAAACTTACTAGTTTGTGAATTCAGTGATAGGAAAATATTGAAACAAAGAAAAATAAATTGAAATGAAAAGCGTTGTTCTTAACTTAAAATTTCACCTTTTTATAAGTTTAAGGGGAATTGTTTTATGTAAGAATGGAAAGGGTTCATTTATATTTTCCGTGTTTCGGTTAGGATCACCTTCGCACATCCGGTGTTCGCCATTTTATTCATTCACGCATTTTCGACTGTAAGTACAAAGCATGGAAATGAATAATGTGTGGCCAGTCTAGCTGGAAAAACTGTTCAACTCAAGTGGAATATTCAATGTTAAGTGCTTTTCTTTCGGAAAAGGGTCTGATTAATTTCCTCGTTTTTAAATCATGTTTCTAATTTTCGCGGTAAAATGTGTTTGACTGAACTGATCTCGCCGGCTTATTTCCTAGATGTAGTATTTGAAGATGGCTTTAGGAACAAAATTCTTTTTCATTTAGTATATGATCAGCTACCGTTAAAGCTGTCGGTATTTGGAAATGGGTTCTTGTTTAAAAGAGTGTAACTTTCTTTTACTTAACTGATAAAATTGGCATACATTTGTTTTTGTTATATCCTCTTATTTGCCCCACTCGTCCTGTTCTTAAAATGGAACGATAAAGGAAATGAGCCTCACAGCCTAAAGTAAAGTGAATGTCTTTCTTAGTAATACATGCGTCTTGGTTAATCTTGACTTGTGGATCCAGGGATTTGCCAGAGAAGGGGTGGGGGTCTATTTATGTATTTTATTCTGATAGCAGCCCACCTATTTGATATTTTACATATTGAGCATGTGATATCAGTGGTTGTATGATGAACAATTATATATACATTACAGGACCCAGGCTTTTGAACATGTGGTGGTATAGTGAAGTGTGAAATAGGTGTGCTAAAGTTATAAGACTAGGACCAGGTGCATGACAGTTAATTAGATATGAGACCTGTCTGAGACAGTGAGAGAGATGGTTCCATTACTAGTACTTAGTTCATTTTTGTGCTTTTATATCCACAGAGCAACAGCCATTTAAAGTTTTCACATACCATGTCAGGGATTGCTTTTGGACGTCTGGCAGAGGAGAGAAAGGCATGGAGGAAAGATCACCCATTTGTAAGGATTGTCTCTTATTTTGATTAGGCATAGTTATCAGATATACTCAAATATGTTGTGTTTAATACATTTCTCTCAGAAGTGTGGAATGTGTGTGAAAAAATTAAAGTGATAGCACTGATTATGTATAATTTTAAAACTGAAGCCTAATTTTTGTTCCCGGTAGTTTCTGTTTCTGTTTTCTCATTGGTGAGAGCAATGATGAAAGTAATGATTCAATTTAAATAATTTTGAAACATAGACATATATGATTTAAATATCCTTTATATGTAGAACATTTTCTTGCTCATTTGTTTTTTGGAGTACTTTACTAAGATATAATATTTTGTTGTTTTAGGGTTTTGTAGCCAAACCTGTCAAGAATCCTGATGGTTCTTTAAACTTAATGAATTGGGAGTGTGCAATACCTGGGAAGAAGGGGGTAAGTACCTGGGGGAAAAGAGGGTAGGCATCGGAGGGGGGGGAGGGATTAGCAATGGATGCATTATGCCAACAAACAGAGGACATGCAATTTTCCTGCATGGTTAGATCAGAAGGACATCTTTTTTACTTCTGTCATAAAAAAATTATGTATTGTCAAGGCTTTTGAGCAAAGAGATACTGATAAACTTTATCTACACTTAGATTACCATTGGTTGTTTGTGTCACTCTTTCTTTCTATACACACATGAAGATGGCAAATTGCTTTAAGCATTATGTACTCATCTTAAGATAACTTAAAAATGTAACCAATTAACTAATAAACATCTATTCATTATGGAGAAAAGAAAAGAAAAAAGTTTTATTATGATAAACACTGAAAGAATAATTTTAAAAATTAATTAATTACAGGGGAGATTGGAGAGCCTGTCACATGGGTTTATGACTGACTTCTACCAGTTAGTTTTCATTGTTGACTCTTCCAATTTTGCAATTTCAGACAATATGGGAGAATGGGTTGTACAAGTTAAGGATGCTATTTAAAGATGACTATCCATCTTCACCACCTAAATGTGAGTACGAGTCTCTTATGGATTGACAGATTGTTCTGACTACATCCTCTTTAATTATATTAATCTGCAGTTCTTATTGGAGGTCAGTTTAGAAATCACTAGCTGACTGCAAAACAGGTCATTGCTGTAATGTAAGAAAACACCAACTGTGTTTAATGACTTTTGTTTGATAAAAGTAAATGTATGTATCTTTTATTCTTTCAAGTAAGTTTGATCCCCAATTGTTTCACTCCAGTGTCTACTGCGTGTTTTTTGTACTGGATTTCTGCTTTTTATCTGTACATTTAACAGAATTACTGCCTTGTTTTCTTCCAGGTAAATTTGAGCCTCCACTGTTTCATCCCAATGTCTACCCCTCTGGTACAGTGTGTTTGTCTTTACTGGACGAAGAAAAAGATTGGAGACCAGCAGTGACAATAAAACAAGTAAGCTACCCAACTTCTGAGCATCTGTACTTGAAAGGAAAAGGGAGTTTAACTGTAGTGACGTGGAATATTAGCATCTTCTTTTTAAGAAAAGAAAAGAAACTTTAGTTGAGTGATGTATGTGTGTGTCATTGATTTATTAGAAACTTTATTGCCTTAGTTACCCTTAAGATAAAGGTAAACTTTGTTGGGTTTATCATGGCACTTCCTGTACTGTCTTCAGTATTTTCATCTTTGGGCATGTTTCAAGACCAGTATAAATACCTTACATTTAATTTCACTGAATTAAATCAAAATAACTAAAATTCTAGATATTGCTTGGCATCCAAGAGCTGTTAAATGAACCAAACATAAAGGACCCAGCCCAGGCGGAGGCTTATACCATTTATTGGTAAGTAATGGGACAGAGTTAATGTGGAAATTTATCCTTTAAGATTGATTGTCCTATTTAATTTTATCAAATGCTAAATCAGTCCCCATTAATGTGGCAGTGGTAATGCAGTGGAAGTTTTACAATGAAAATTGTCGTTTTCAATCCCTTCAAATGTAAAATGTTTTATTTTTAAAACAGTGCAGATAAAGAATTGGTATTAGCTATCTTCGTATGTAAATAGTAGTGTTGAATGTTTTCGAATTCCAACAAATACTAAATGTTTAGTGTTTGAAACAGTGCAAATTAAGTTTTGTTATATTAAGTAATTTTTTTATTTTTTTGAATTCCATAGAATGTTTTATGTTTGAAAGTGCAGATGAAGTTTCACTATTAGTAATGTGTTAATTTTTGTGGTAAGTAAATACTAGTTTTGATTGAATGTGGCTGAGTTTTTCCTGTGTTTGCATAGTTCAAATTCTTTCTTTTTCAGCCAAAACAGAAATGAATATGAAAAGCGAGTGAAAGAACAAGCAGCCAAATTTAGGGACCCCTCCCTTACGTAGGAGACTATGTACTCTGTACGAAGACATTTGAAGACTATTGAAGTGAATTTTACAAGTATAAATTGAAAAATATTTAGCAGCATTTTCTTCTTGTCTGGCTGTACCCTGCAGTTGTGTATTATTGGGAACATTTAACAGTATCAAGGCATGACATGCTAAAGTATAGAAGTTTTGTGCAATGTTGATGGGTGACAAATGTAACCCAGTTTGCTGCATGAAATAGGTGCCTAAATCTCTAGAAATAGTGAACTTAACAGGCTTTTCTATGACAAATGGGCCTTTGTAAATTGGAGGTTGTAGCAGAGGGATCAAGTGTTTTCACATCTCCAGTGGCAACTGGTAGTTAAAAATGAAAATCAGTGTTACAATTATTCCTGGGGTCCTTTCCTACAAAAGAACATAAGTGGATGGTAGATCAAGACTAAAAGCTGGAATCTTGAGTCCACTTTGATTTATCTTTAACTGCAAATGGAGACCTAGTGTATACAGTCTCATACATGAGCCATTTCGTACTTGTGAAACGGGCAAAGTATTTTTATTCAGTGACTAGATTTATTATGGGGCTAAGTGAGTTGCTCTTAAAATTTGACCCGTTTGACAGAAGTGCTTTTATGGAATGGGCTCTATGCTGCTTTTGAAGGATAAAACTTCAAAATGCTATTTAGTAACTTTTTATACAAACTTCCTCAGTATGCTGCAAATTGGGACGTTTAATTCGAACCAAAAAATTTCTGGGTACAATATTTCTTACTGTAGTCCCTTTTACCATTTTTATTTAAAAATCATTTGTAGAGAGCAACAGGCAATACTGTCTTTAACTCTTGTACAGAAATAGACTATACGACTGAATAAATATTTGACAAGTTAGAGGAAAGTGCAGTCATATCGTAAACCGAAATACTTGTGGTGACTGTAAAGCCAACAATTGTTTACCGAGTTGTACTACAGTAACATTTCTTTTGTAATAAAAAAAACGGGTATCATTGGCTTTCTTGTTTGTATGCCACTTGATTTACTCCAGGTGACTAAGTTTGACAGAAGTTTTTAGCAACCATACTTGAAGGCATGAAATGATCTTTTCATGTTAGTATGAAAGACATGATATCATTAGTGAATCCTTCAAAATACTTAAATTTTGCTCGATTTAAGTCGATATCATTCCCAAAAAGGTGTTACCCTCTCTAACTTTCCAATGTAGCTGCTCCATGCAATAAAAACAAACTTCAGTTTTTAAAGACCTTTATTTACAGCCTGATGAAAAAGTCATTTTATCTCCAATGCTAGAAGTTTAACATACTATTCAATGCCTAGTAAGAAATGGTGATAGGTATTTACATGGCAAATATACATAAAATTCACAGCAACGTGCTGTTTTCATACTTGTTACTGGAAAATTTTTATTTAAAAAATGTTAATACTGTACATTTAATTTCCAACTGTAACAGTAACATTTGGAAAGCACCACTGTAATAAGTTCATTACTAATGCTATCAGAAATAACAGTGAATGACGTTCAATATCAAAGTAAAACTCCTGTCCATACCTCAGTACTATAATATTTGTTCAAAAGTTTCATAGCTGCCTATGAATGGACAGCATAATGAAGTGAAGAAAATCGGAGGAATCCAAAAGACCAAACCACAGTATCTTCAATATTCACAGAGAATCTCGGGAATCTACAAGGCCAACCACTTTATCTCCATAGTTAAGAGAATCTCAGGAATCCACAAGGCCAACCACTGCATCATCAATATTCACAGGATGCGTCTCAAGTCCTTGCACAACCTGAGTCACCTCGCCACCAGATGTCCCCACAAGTCCCTCCAGCACATCATCAGGCAGCTCCTCGCTGTGTGTTACTATGGTAACATCATCAGAGGTCAGCCCCGGCACCTGTCCTGATGCAGTGACCGTAGTCATTGTCGGCGTGGTTGACATGGAGGCCATGCTGGAGAGACTGTCCAGGATTGAGGTTGGGTCAGAGGTGGCGACGGCGATGGTGTTCCCGTCTGGTTGGTTCAAGATGACATACTGTGTGGTGTTATCCTGGGCTGTGCCGACCACCTCGATGTTCTGCACCTGGATGTTACTCTCACTGTCAACTACCACATACTCAGCAGCAGGCTGGAACAGAGAGGAAGATGGGTCAGTTATATATCTTACTGGTAGAAAACTGAAACTTTTAAATATACTCAAGGGCCATGCAGAATGAGTTAGGTAGCAATAGCNCTGTGTCTGTACATAAAAATGTCACTTCAGCAAAATTAAATTATAGGCCAATTTCTCACCTTATCATACAGATACTGGTCCAGTTCCTCGGCTAGCTTCTTCCAAAACAGATTAAATAAAGGTTTACTGAGCAGCTTTTCAACACTATGAAGATGTTCTTTTAACACTAAGAACATTTCACATGCAGATGGCGACAGGGTGGGGGACGTAAACTCCTTCAGGGAGGGCAGAGACAGCCATCTGAAACATGGGGATAGTTCATGTTGTGTCATTTTTCTCAATAAACAGGCAATCAATTTTCAACATTAAAACAAACGCATAGTCTACAGGTCTTCTAAATATACAATTTAATGTTATGATTTAGTCAAACAATCATTTTCTTTTAACATCATAATAAAAGGAAAAGGTTTCTTGTGGCCCACTTCCAAGTAGCAAAATACCAAAGAATTGAAGTCTGAGATATTTGACTTCACTTATCAAAAGAAGCATTTCCCTGTCTGTTGTCTTAGGCCTGGAGACCATTCCCAGAGACTATCGTACTAACTTTGGATCTCCAAAGGGATTCTCGCTTGATTGCAATTAACTTAAGTGGCTTAGATGTCTGTCATGCCTACTGAAGCTGATAGGGGGTAATTAACTATCATTTAGCAGCTTTAGCAGGCGTGCCAGGCATCTAACCCACTTAAGCTGAAAACAATTTAGTGAGAAATCCCATGGAGATGGACCGATCTTGTTAGATCAGTCTAGGGATGGGAACGCAGTCCTAGTTTTACCAGCCCTAGCTCATCTCAACTGTACCTGTCCTTCCTGTACGGTCTGCTCCTAGCTTTGACATCATCACTGACATATTTGAGAATGATCTTCAACATCTCATTCTTGGTTATCTCAAAATACTCAATAAGTCTGTCAAACACAGAGCCCGTCAGGTCCTCTAGTTTGCTTTCATCAAAGGTGTCTGGCATCTAGTACATAAAAACAAATCATGACCACACTGAAATGTTGTTACCACAATAATTACATCTTAAAAAAAAGAAATTCTTACAAAACACAATCTACAAGTAAAATCCCATAAAGAGTTATGCCATGTTATGCTATACACAGTTTACAAGTGCTTTTTTTGTAAAATCAAGCATCGGGGGTGATTCTCATAGGGTGCTCACAATCTTACAAGGATACGGTAATCTGAGTGGGCTTCGCATCAACCAATTTTTAGCAAAAAGAAAAACCAATGAGTTATGCCTTCATTCTGTTCATCTATCTTTACCAACACATTCTGAAAATTTCAAAACTTTTTATGAGATCTAGTTCGCACCTGAAAGTTGCTGGTGGACAGTTCTCCCATGTCTTCCGCTCTTGAAGTGTCAACGTCGTCACCCAGTGCCGCTGGTGACATGGGCACATCTCCCTCTATAGCCTCTGTACTCTGACTTTCCAACCTGAAGTACTGCAACTGCAGGAAAAACTAGAAGAAAGGGAAATAATCATTATTAACACAAATTTGCTAATAATTTTTTTTTTTTTTTTTTTTGCTTTTCACTACAATTCAACTCACATTCTTTAAATGTGTAAGCTTTAGCATTGTTCTCAAAAATTTCTTATTTGAAACTTCCTATTCCATATAACATAACACTTCTAATGAGTGAACCTGACGGCAAAACATCTTGCTGTCATTAAAGATTCTAATCATGTGAAACAATTAAACAAATATAGCTTAGTAAAAAAGATACTAGATATTACAATGACTAAAATTAAAGCCTGAATGTTGCCAGTCCCTCCTCTATAATCTAAATACATGAAAATCAAAGATATAAGAGAGGTACCCACCAGCAACTCACTCCACTCCTTAAGCACCTCTATAATGTAGTTGACAGCATTTAATATTGCACAGTAACACTTATCCAGAGGATTTCCTGTGTTTTCTTGTTCTCGTTTAATCTGCAGCAGACGTATCCTGAAGTCGTCGAGGAGTTCAAGCTCCAAATCCAGAAACCTCAGTTTGCACGTGGGGTAAGGAAGGGGCTTGTAACGATCTGTGAAATGATAGGAATCATGTATTGGTCTGAAAATTGTGCGACTTTGAAATCAAAAATGACTAGCACACTTCCATTTAAAGGGTCAAATAAGATTTAGTGAAAAAAAAATCAGAATGCTTCTGGCCAATTAAAATACAGGAGGAATAACAATGTCTTGAAGGAAAAAATATTTGAGTCATAGGTCACAACCTTGTACCTGGATCTTTTCCATATATTAATTTCATAACTGTGCTATAAATTCACAATAAAATAGTGATTTTCACCTGTTATAGTGAGTACAAGAGTCAGGAAGGCCTCGGCTGATTCCGGAGTTTTCATGTCGTCCACGTCTGCACTGTACTGAGCCTCCCAGGCAGTAGGGGACGTCAATACTGCATCTACCTTCTCCATGGCAACTAGAACATGGAAGAAATCCTACATGATACATTACATTATGAATTTTCTATTTTCATTGAAAACTAGCAATATTTACGTTTTTGTTACATCACAATGGACTAATCATCCAAGGGGCATAAGTTCTTAATTCTTAACACAATATTAATGGTAGGAAAATGACATTAGGATGTTATATAATACAAGGCAGCAAAGCTGTCAAATGTACAGACAAAAAACAGGAAATAACTATGCACAAAATAGGCTACTGTCAATTCTGATGCAAAAGTATATTATGTTAAACTGCAAATTATACATCAAATTTTAATGATTGAATCTGACAAACTGCAATGATATGAGTTTATTTCCATTTTAAAAGTTTATTACACAATACACGATAATAAGTTTACCATCATTTTTACATTATCAACTAATAATGTTGTAAAGATGCAGGAAATGCCAAACAAACACTTTTACGTATCTTATTAATTAAATAATGAAACTGTAAACATGCCTAAGAATTAAATCTGAGGAAATGTGAAAAAACGGCATTTCTTTAATGGTCCAATTATGCTGATTTTTTAACTCAACCTGCACTTTAGCAGGAATGACCACTCCTGTGAGTTTAATGACAATTGGCCTATCTGTTTTTCTTATATTGTGTTTACAGTGTTGCATATATGCTGAAAAGTGAAAAAAAAAAGCATAACTACTAAAATAGTGGCCCGATCATGCCGATTTTCGAACTTGACCTGCGTTATAATAAGATTGATTTCTCCTGTGAGTTTCATGACAACAGGCCTATCAGTTTTCCTTTAAATGTGTTTACAGTGTTGCATATATGCTGAAAAGTGAAAAAACAGCATAACTTCTACAAAAATGGCCCGATCATGCTGATTTTCGAACTTGACCTGCGTTTTATGAATATTCATCAGCTCTGTAAATACATAGCCAAAAAGTAAAACTGCCTTCCACATATCGTGTTTACAATGAAAGTGCACGGCGCTGGCAACAGTGACAGTGACGGCGACGACGGCAGATGCAGGTGATGGCAATATGTACAGACACATTTGTATATATTTACTGTACTGTTTGAGAACAGTAAGTGACATTGTTTTTCTTAAATGGTCATCATGGGAGCAGTGCCTAAAATAGTTTTTTTTTTTNTTTTACATTATCAACTAATAATGTTGTAAAGATGCAGGAAATGCCAAACAAACACTTTTACGTATCTTATTAATTAAATAATGAAACTGTAAACATGCCTAAGAATTAAATCTGAGGAAATGTGAAAAAACGGCATTTCTTTAATGGTCCAATTATGCTGATTTTTTAACTCAACCTGCACTTTAGCAGGAATGACCACTCCTGTGAGTTTAATGACAATTGGCCTATCTGTTTTTCTTATATTGTGTTTACAGTGTTGCATATATGCTGAAAAGTGAAAAAAAAAAGCATAACTACTAAAATAGTGGCCCGATCATGCCGATTTTCGAACTTGACCTGCGTTATAATAAGATTGATTTCTCCTGTGAGTTTCATGACAACAGGCCTATCAGTTTTCCTTTAAATGTGTTTACAGTGTTGCATATATGCTGAAAAGTGAAAAAACAGCATAACTTCTACAAAAATGGCCCGATCATGCTGATTTTCGAACTTGACCTGCGTTTTATGAATATTCATCAGCTCTGTAAATATAAAGCCAAAAAGTTAAACTGTCCTCCACTTATCGTGTTTACAAGGAAAGTGCACGGCATCGGCGACGGCGACGGCATCGGCGACGACAGACGCAGGTGATGGCAATATGTACAGACACATCTGTGTCTGTACATAAAAAGAGTTAACTTGACTCAACTGCTGCTTACACTTCTAAATTCTTTACACTATATTAATGAAAGCAAAATAACATCTGGATATGCTTAATATAGCTCAATGTAAACATGACTCAGCAACTGCTTACACTTCTTCTCGATTGCAATCCACTTCTGGAAGGGTTCATCATGGCACAGCACATGCAGGCAGCCTGGCTCACTGTTAGGATAGCCAAAACTATTCCGTAACTCTTTGTCAAAACTCAGAACTTCATCTATGAAATGAGAGAACTGCTGTTCATCAAACATCAACTCTGGAATGTCGACCACCATCTTCTCCAGAACCAGTAGAACTAATCCTCTGGCAAACTCAGCCTGGAACAGATGCAGGTTATAGAACTTATGATATATACTGTAATATTATCAAAACAATTGCTGCATTTTGTAACATTGCCACACTATGCACAAGTTATCTTATCCTTTAAAATGCCCTTTACACTAAGCCACTGACACTTTTTGGATTTTGGTTTAAACAAGAAGACTTTCAGCACAATTTCACACCTTACACAATGTCAAACCCAGTCACACCTTACACAATGTCAAACCCAGTCACACCTAACACAATGTCACACACAGTCACACCTAACACAATGTCATACCCTGGAATCCATTGAATCAAGGCCCTCTTTCTTAATAACAGGCTGAACGTTGACTCTGAGAAATTCATTGTGATCTCGAAGCCAGCCAAGAACCTGGGTAAGGTACCACTCAGGCTGAAGTAAATAAGCAGCACTTAGCTTTATCAGTAGTGCAAAGTTGGAAGAAATTAGAATTACATCACTTACATGAATTTCAATATTCAAATACAATGTATATCTCATTAGGGCTCAATAAATTAAAACATATACATGACTATAAAAAGGTACTTTTTCTTGTCTTCTGTGCTATACCAAAATGTGATTTTGAAAATCTCAATCTTAAAGACATATGCTAATTCCCAACCTTATCTAGACTATTTGTCTGCTTGTTCCCATAGAAATGAAATCTGAACCTCTTCCTTAGAGGTTTCAGAAGAAGCTGTATTGGTAGAGGTATGGGTCTCCACCCTGGCAAAGATCTCAGCACTGGATGCTGCTGCAAGCCCTGATTCTCAGGGTGTAATCCTTCACTGACAGGAGTTAAGAATCATTTTAATCTTAAAAGAACTGTTTTTCATGTCTTTCAGGGTGCAACCTATTCACATTAAGGACATATTCTGTACATATTCACCAGCACATACTGGCATATATAAATCATAGTACAAAAAATACAGTGTAGAGGAGTTAAGAATGAATAACTTTAGGATGTCTTTCAGAATGCAACCTATTGACTTTAAGGACATGTTTATAAACTTGTATCTGTACATATTCACCAGCACATACTGGTGTATAAATTGTAGGAAGATAATTATCAGTTTGTATTTATTTACTCAAAAATTCTAGTGGAATCACAATCACACTGTTTATATCAATCTTAGGGATTGCAATCAAGCCTGTGCCTCCACAGGTACAGGTGTTATGGTGCTGGTATGCAATGAATTGCTCATCAAACTCAATCGGTTTTAGAACAAGAAATTTTCACCATTTACTTGCAGTTCAGTAAAGGTTGAGAAACTTATGATAAAAAAGCATTACTCCATCATTCAACGTAATTTATAACCACATCACAAAACTAAGAATCTGAATTTTACACAACTATCACACTGTTCAAGGATACGGTAATCGAAGGAGCAGTAGCTGCCTACACAAGGTTTTGAACTTCCCACTGGCATTTTGAACCTCTGTCTCCTTGTCTTTCAGTTTCACAATGGCAGCAATGAAAGGCCACCCTAGGGCCTTCAGAACTTCATCAAATTCACTGGTAGAGAGAAGAAAAATTTATTTTTATATTACTGTGGTATGACAAAATTAAGGTTTTGAATATGAAGCAAATTAAAAAGATAATTTGTGCTGTTCATATCATCGAAGGGCTTGTTGGTCATAAAAAAGAAAAATTATTCAAAGGATTAAAGATACTACAAATTTTAAAAGATCCCGTAAAAATCGGTTGGAATCTATGTTATAAAATGTTTTGGAATTTATCTCATAAAAACAAGCTAAAATCTTCTTATAAAAATGTTTGAATATAGCATACCCAGAAAGTCGGTCCCTAAAAATTTTGTACCAGAAAAGCAATGTATTTTGTGAAAACTTGACAAGGTTTTGGCAGCTGGAACTTTGAAGATACTGAACTAATCTTCCCATCTCTGCAAACTGTGCTATGGATTGGTCGACATTCTCTATTATAAGGGCTGTTTGAATTTCAGAGCTAAAAACATAATGGTTACATTAATCTAAATAAATATATAATTTAAGTGCTAAACAATACTTCTTGGACAGCATATTGCATTAATAACGTTAATCCTCTTAAAATTTCAGAGTTTACATTATAGTAACTATAACATACTACTTTACCTAAATGGTGGAAATTGGCAGAATGATTTTAGTAAACAAACCTTTCACTTATTCACAGTCATTTTTACTGTCACCACATGTATGAAAAATGTCCCCTTCGAGATCTATTTACCTCAACTCTTCTATTTTTACAATCCATTGTAGATATTTTGCATATTTTTCTAGTTCCTCAACTTGTGTAGTCAGTTGTGATACCCTGAATATGATGGGTTCAACCTGGCGGTTGTGTTCCAGGATTGCATCCCTCACTTGTTCCTGCTCAGCAGAAAGTGAAGCAATTCTGTTTCTGGCCTCTTCAGCATCCTTAACAGCAGTCCTGATCTTGCTGGGAACTTCAGAGCTTTTAAGGGAAATCTGGTAGGAGAAATTAAATCTAGAAAGGTGCTAAAACAGTATGCTACAAATGTTTGAAACTGTTTTGTCTAAACCCTATGTCTAGATGTTTTGCAAATCTACCTGTCTTTTCAGATCTCAAAAAATATTGTTGATCCTTCCCTTTGAAATTTCAGGCAAAAATGGCAATCTCAGTAAATCTAGACTAAATTTGAAACATGGTTAAAAGGAAAAATTCTACATTTCAGTCAGAACAATAGATGGAATGAAACCTCTCCCGTGCATTTAACACATGAATTCTGCATACTGCTGTGCCATCTGTCAGCACTGCTGACGTTGCCCAGAGCGGTGGTTTACTCAGCAAAGTTAAATAATGCACTTAATTACCTGCGATTCCAATAATTCTTTTGTATGCCTCAACTTTTCGCGAACTTCTCTGACTTTGCTTAAACTTTTGACATCTTCAGAGAATTCAGAATTTATGATATCCATGATCTCATTTTCTACCCTGTTTTCCCCAATGGGGGCTGACATGTTGGATTGCATCTAAAAATTACTAGTTTGTGAATTCAGTGATAGGAAAATAATGAAACAAAGAAAAATAAATTGAATTGTAAAGCGTTGTTCTTAACTTAAAATTCCACATTTTTTATAAGTTTAAGGGGAATTGTTTAATTTAAGAATGATAAGGTTCATTTATATTTTTCCGTGTTTCGGTTCGGATCACCTTCGCACATCCGGTGTTCGCCATTTTATTCATTCACGCATTTTCGACTGTAAGTACAAAGCATGGAAATGAATAATGTGTGGCCAGTCTGGCTGGAAAAAACTGTTTAACTCGTGAAAAATATACAATGTTAAGCGTTTTTCTTTTGTAAAAGGGTCTGATTAATTTCCTCGTTTTTTAGTCATGTTTCTAATTTTCGCGGTAAAATGTGTTTGACTGCACTGATCTCGCCGGCTTATTTCCTAGATGTTGTATTTGAAGATAAAACCAGGAACAAAACTCTTTGTCATTAAGTATATGATTAGCTTCCGTTAAAGCTGTCGGTATTTGGAATGGGTTCTTGTTTAGAAGATTGTAACTCTCTTTTACGTAACCGATAAAATTGGTATACATTTGTTGTTGTACTTTTGGTTTTGTTATATCCTCTTACTAGTATTTTCCCCCACTCGCACTGTTCTTTAAATGAAACGATAAAAGAAATGAGCCTCACAGCCTAAAGTTAAGTGAATAAGTCTCTCTTAGTACTACATGTATCTTGGCTAAACTTGTGGATCCAGGAATTTGCCAGAGAAGGGCAGGGTGGGGGTCTATTTGCGTATTTTATTCTGATCAATACCAGCCCACGTACTTGACATTTTATAAATTCAGCATGTGATATCAGAGGTTGTACAATGAACACTGATGTATACATTACAGGACCCAGGCTTTAGAACATGTGGTGGTGGTATAGTGAATTGTGAAATAGTCTTAAATTGTAAGACTCGGACCAGGTGCATGCCAGTTTATTAGATGAGACCTTTCTGAGGCACTCGGCAGTGAGAGAGATGGTTCCTTAATTCATTTTTTGTGCTTTTATATCCACAGAGAGAGCAGCAGTCATTAAAAGTTTTCACATACCATGTCAGGGATTGCTTTTGGGCGTCTGGCAGAGGAGAGAAAGGCGTGGAGGAAAGATCACCCATTTGTAAGGATTGTCTCTTATTTTGATAAGGCAAAGTTATAACATATACACAAGTACATTATGTTTATTTTATTCTCTCAAAATTTTGGGATTTGTAAGTAAAATTTAAAGTGATAGCACTGATTATGTATAATTTTAAAACTGAAGCCTAATTTTTGTACCCATAGTTTCAGTTTCTGTTTTCTCTTTGGTGGGAGCCATGATGAAAGTAATGATTCAATTTAAATAATTTTGAAACATAGATATGATTTGAATATCCTTTATATGTAGAACATTTTCTTGCTCATTTGTTTTTTGGAGTACTTTACTAAGATATATTATATATAATATTTTGTTGTTTTAGGGTTTTGTAGCCAAACCTGTCAAGAATCCTGATGGTTCTTTAAACTTAATGAATTGGGAGTGTGCAATACCTGGGAAGAAGGGGGTAAGTACCTGGGGGAAAAGAGGGTAGGCATCGGGGGGGGGGGGGGAAGGAAGGAGGTGTGCACCAGGAAAAGGGGGGAGGGAGGGAGGGCTCAGCAATGGATGCATTATGCCAACAAACAGAAGACATGCAATTTTCCTGCATGTTTAGGTCAGAAGGACATCTTTTTTACTTCTGTCATAAGAAAATTATGTATCATCAAGGCTTTTGAGCAAAGAGATACTGATAAACTTTATCTACACTTAGATTACCATTGGTTGTTTGTGTCACTCTTTCTTTCTATACACACATGAAGATGGCAAATTGCTTTTAGCATGATGTACTCATCTTAAGATAACTTAAAAATGTAACCAATTAACTAATAAACATCTATTCATTATGGAGAAAAGAAAAGAAAAAAGTTTTATTATGATAAACACTGAAAGAATAATTTTAAAAATTAATTAATTACATGGGTTTATGACTGACTTCTACCAGTTAGTTTTCATTGTTGACTCTTCCAATTTTGCAATTTCAGACAATATGGGAGAATGGGTTGTACAAGTTAAGGATGCTATTTAAAGATGACTATCCATCTTCACCACCTAAATGTGAGTACGAGTCTCTTATGGATTGAGAGATTGTTCTGACTACATCCTCTTTAATCATATTAATCTGCAGTTCTTATTGGAGGTCAGTTTAGAAATCACTAGCTGACTGCAAAACAGGTCATTGCTGTAATGTAAGAAAACACTAACTGTGTTTAATGACTTTTGTTTGATAAAAGTAAATGTATGTATCTTTTATTCTTTCAAGTAAGTTTGATCCCCAATTGTTTCACTCCAATGTCTACTGTTCTAGTACTGTGTGTTTGTTGTACTGGATTTCTGCTTTTTATCTGTACATTTAACAGAATTACTGCCTTGTTTTCTTCCAGGTAAATTTGAGCCTCCACTGTTTCATCCCAATGTCTACCCCTCTGGTACAGTGTGTTTGTCTTTACTGGACGAAGAAAAAGATTGGAGACCAGCAGTGACAATAAAACAAGTAAGCTACCCAACTTCTGAGCATCTGTACTTTAAATGAAAAGGGAGTTTAACTGTAGTGACGTGGAATATTAGCATCTTCTTTTTAAGAAAAGAAAAGAAACTTCAGTTGAGTGATGTATGTGTGTGTCATTGATTTATTAGAAACTTTATTGCCTTAGTTACCCTTAAGATAAAGGTAAACTTTGTTGGGTTTATCATGGCACTTCCTGTACTGTCTTCAGTATTTTCATCTTTGGGCATGTTTCAAGACCAGCATAAATACCTTACATTTAATTTCACTGAATTAAATCAAAATAACTAAAATTCTAGATATTGCTTGGCATCCAAGAGCTGTTAAATGAACCAAACATAAAGGACCCAGCCCAGGCGGAGGCTTATACCATTTATTGGTAAGTAATGGGACAGAGTTAATGTGGAAATTTATCCTTTAAGATTGATTGTCCTATTTAATTTCTTCGAATGCTAAATCAGTCCCCATTAATGTGGCAGTGGTAATTCAGTGGAAGTTTTACAATGAAAATTGTCGTTTTCAATCCCTTCAAATGTAAAATGTTTTATTTTTAAAGCAGTGCAGATAAAGAATTGGTATTAGCTATCTTCGTATGTAAATAGTAGTGTTGAATGTTTTCGAATTCCAACAAATACTAAATGTTTAGTGTTTGAAACAGTGCAAATTAAGTTTTGTTATATTAAGTTATTTTTTATTTTTTTGAATTCCATAGAATGTTTTATGTTTGAAAGTGCAGATCTATGAAATTTCACTATTAGTAATGTGTTAATTTTTGTGGTAAGTAAATACTAGTTTTGATTGAATGTGGCTGAGTTTTTCCTGTGTTTGCATAGTTCAAATTCTTTCTTTTTCAGCCAAAACAGAAATGAATATGAAAAGCGAGTGAAAGAACAAGCAGCCAAATTTAGGGACCCCTCCCTTACGTAGGAGACTATGTACTCTGTACGAAGACATTTGAAGACAATTGAAGTGAATTTTACAAGTATAAATTGAAAAATATTTAGCAGCATTTTCTTCTTGTCTGGCTGTACCTTGCAGTTGTGTATTATTGGGAACATCAAACAGTATCAAGGCATGACATGCTAAAGTATAGAAGTTTTGTGCAATGTTGATGGGTGACAAATGTAACCCAGTTTGCTGCATGAAATAGGTGCCTAAATCTCTAGAAATAGTGAACTTAATAGGCTTTTCTATGACAGATGGGCCTTTGTAAATTGGAGGTTGTAGCAGAGGGATCAAGTGTTTTCACATCTCCAGTGGCAACTGTGGGTAGTTAAAAATGAAAATCAGTGTTACAATTACTCCTGGGGTCCTTTCCTACAAAAGAACATAAGTGGATGGTAGATCAAGACTAAAAGCTGGAATCTTGAGTCCATTTTGATTTATCTTTAACTGCAAATGGAGACCTAGTGTATACAGTCTCATACATGAGCCATTTCGTACTTGTGAAACGGGCAAAGTATTTTTATTCAGTGACTAGATTTATTATGGGGCTAAGTGAGTTGCTCTTAAAATTTGACCAGTTTGACAGAAGTGCTTTTATGGAATGGGCTCTATGCTGCTTTTGAAGGATAAAACTTCAAAATGCTATTTAGTAACTTTTTATACATAAACTTCCTCAGTATGCTGCAAATTGGGACGTTTAATTCGAACCAAAAAATTTCTGGGTACAATATTTCTTACTGTAGTCCCTTTTACCATTTTTATTTAAAAATCATTTGTAGAGAGCAACAGGCAATACTGTCTTTAACTCTTGTACAGAAATAGACTATACGACTGAATAAATATTTGACAAGTTAGAGGAAAGTGCAGTCACATCGTAAACTGAAATACTTGTGGTGACTAAAGCCAACAATTGTTTACCAAGTTATACTACAGTAACATTTCTTTTGTAATAAAAAAACGGGTATCATTGGCTTTCTTGTTTGTACGCCACTTGATTTACTCCAGGTGACTAAGTTTGACAGAAGTTTTTAGCAACCATACTTGAAGGCACGAAATGATCTTTTCATGTTAGTATGAAAGACATGATATCATTAGTGAATCCTTCAAAATACTTAAATTTTGCTCGATTTAAGTCGATACCATTCCCAAAAAGGTGTTACCCTCTCTAACTATCCAATGTAGCTGCTCCTTGCAATAAAAAAAAACTTCAGTTTTTAAAGAGACCTTTATTTACAGCCTGATGAAAAAGTCATTTTATCTCCAATGCTATAAGTTTAACATACTATTCAATGCCTAGTAAGAAATGGTGATAGGTATTTACATGGCAAATATACATAAAATTCACAGCAACGTGCTGTTTTCATACTTGTTACTGGAAAATTTTAATTTAAAAAATGTTAATACTGTACATTTAATTTCCAACTGTAACAGTAACATTTGGAAAGCACCACTGTAATTAGTTCATTACTAATGCTATCAGAAATAACAGTGAATGACGTTCAATATCAAAGTAAAACTCCTGTCCATACCTCAGTACTATAATATTTGTTCAAAAGTTTCATAGCTGCCTATGAATGGACAGCATAATGAAGTGAAGAAAATCGGAGGAATCCAAAAGACCAAACCACAGTATCTTCAATATTCACAGAGAATCTCAGGAATCTACAAGGCCAACCACTTTATCTCCATAGTTCAGAGAATCTCAGGAATCCACAAGGCCAACCACTGCATCTTCAATATTCACGGGATGCGTCTCAAGTCCTTGCACAACCTGAGTCACCTCGCCACCAGATGTCGCCACAAGTCCCTCCAGCACATCATCAGGCAGCTCCTCGCTGTGTGTTACTATGGTAACATCATCAGAGGTCAGCCCCGGCACCTGTCCTGATGCAGTGACCGTAGTCATTGTCGGCGTGGTTGACATGGAGGCCATGCTGGAGAGACTGTCCAGGATTGAGGTTGGGTCAGAGGTGGCGACGGCGATGGTGTTCCCGTCTGGTTGGTTCAAGATGACATACTGTGTGGTGTTATCCTGGGCTGTGCCGACCACCTCGATGTTCTGCACCTGGATGTTACTCTCACTGTCAACTACCACATACTCAGCAGCAGGCTGGAACAGAGAGGAAGATGGGTCAGTTATATATCTTATTGCTAGAAAACTAAAACTTTTAAATATACTCAAGGGCCATGCAGAATGAGTTAGCTATTGTGCACTGACTCAAAAGGGACACTTATTACCTGTGTGTCTGTCATGTCTTCCTCCTGTCCCTCCAGTATATAGTGTTATATCTTACCTGTGTGTCTGTCATGTCTTCCTCCTGTCCCTCCAGTATATAGTGTTATATCTTACCTGTGTGTCTGTCATGTCTTCCTCCTGTCTTTCCAGTATGTAGTGTTATATCTTACCTGTGTGTCTGTCATGTCTTCCTCCTGTCNTGTCATGTCTTCCTCCTGTCCCTCCAGTATATAGTGTTATATCTTACCTATGTGTCTGTCATGTCTTCCTCCTGTCTTTCCAGTATGTAGTGTTATATCTTACCTGTGTGTCTGTCATGTCTTCCTCCTGTCCCTCCAGTATATAGTGCTGTGTGTCAGTTACCACAGAAGAGAATTGGGCCAGAACTGTAGGGTAATTATTCTCCAGGCTATTCTGAACCACATCCTCCTCCTGGGTCTCCTGTACTGACCTTAACTGCTGGGTGCATGGGGCTGAAATGATGGAAGAAATTATAATAAAAATATAATATAATTATTTAAATTTTAAAATCCATAACATGTTAAGTAGACTTTACAGCATAAAATTATTAAAGTTTACAGGTAAGAATGATTAACTGTAAGTGAGGTAACAAAAATGCTTTACTCTTTCAGACTGCAGGTCATTACACTCAAAACACTGCTTCCGTATAAACAATTATACACTTGTTAATGTAATAGCAACACCTGATCAAAGCAGGCAACATTCATGACCCCCACAAACCCTTCTTCCGCCACCCCGAAAGGACAATAATGAAGATACTACACCTCAAATAACTCTTCATGAAGATAGCAGTATTCAGTCAAGATAAACATCAATAGAAATATTGAGACAAGGAACAACCAGACATGAGAGGTAAGTAGGAAGAGGTAAGTAGGATTTACAACATGGGGTCTGGGGGCCACTGAAGGTGGAATACTGCTAATGTAAAAAAATTGGATTTCCAATTTAAATTGGAAAGAATCATGTCTGAACACCAAGGGCTTCATGCTTCCTGTAATGATCTCACCTTTTGCTTTTAGATGCCTGTTAAGAGTACCATGTTCAGCAAACTTGCGTCCACAATACTGGCAGGAGTATGGTTTTTCCCCAGTGTGTGTGCGGACATGGCGTTCTAGAGAGCCTTTTTCACGGAAGAGACGATGGCAAAATTTGCATTCCCAAGGCATCACAGACCCATGGGTGCGAAGGTGAACCTTACATGCATTCTGGAAATACAGGCCATACTTTCTCTTTAAAAACACAACTATTATACTATATACTTCATAGGCAAGTGTGTTTGGAGAAACTGTGGACATTTAGTTACTTCCAAATGTTAAAGTAATTTTTTTCTTTTCAGTGAATGCATATAAAAGGCGTGACGTTTTTACTTTCTTTGTAATATCCAGAGCATTTGTGGACATTTACTTACTTTCAAATGGTTAAAATAATTTTTTCAGTGACTGTATTTAAATAGTAACATGATCTTACTGTGGTCTTGAAGGTCTTGTCACAGAAAGTACATTTGTATGGTCGTTCATTAGTGTGTATCTTCAGGTGCTCCTTGACGTGAGAAATTCTTTTAAAGAGTTTCCCACACTCTCCACACTTGTAGTGCCTGGCCTCAGAGTGGGCTGTCAGGTGCTTGCTCAGGGTGTCCTTGGTGGTGAATGTCTTGGGGCAGTGAGGGCACTGGTGGGGGCGCTCTCCTGGATTGGGAGGTTTGAAATTGATGAGAAGTAGCACATATTAGGCACAACTGCAGTGATTTATTACTAAAACACCACAGTCAATATGCTTTTGAAAGCCACTGCTCTCGTTTGTAAAAAAGATAATTTGTGAAATGCATTTGTAGGTGCTTAGAAATATATGCATGTTATTATTAAACAATAAATACCAAACAACATTAACTAAAATTCAAGTATATTTGTCAGAGAAGAATTTGATTAATTTTGCTGTGTTATGTCCTAGGAATAAGATGAGGTTGCTCAACGAAGATATCAAATTATTGGAGACAAAATATTTCAACATTAGCTGTTGCCTGAAGAAAAATAATTACCTTATTAAAGTATAACTAAGAGGTGAATAACGACACAGCAATCACAATGTTACCTGTGTGACTCCTCATATGAAGTTTGAGATAACTGCTTCCCTTGAATGTTCTGCCACACACTGGGCACTTGCTGAAAGTCTTGTAGCCGGCTGCAGAGGGGTCTTCTACAGCAGATTTCTCACCTAGAGTAAGGAGCTGCTTGGCTGCCATAGAACCTTCCCTGGAGTAGGCATTTCATAGTGAAACAGAGTACCTAAATAGTGCTTGCATTCTGAAAAACTTCAGTTCTTACTGCACAGATCTTCATTCTAATTGTAATGTTGTACAGGGGCGGATTAAGGCCGTCTTCTGGGTCTTCCGGAATATGGTCAAATTGTAAGGTTTACATTGACGGGTATATAACTTTCTTGTTGGAAGACGGTCGAAAATTGAAGATTCAACAAAGATAATATGGAAGACTGTCAGAAAATATATCTGGATCCGCCCCTGTTGTAAATACACAACTTGTACTATCTCATGTTGTACAGATCATTACATATCACAGTGTACAGCAGTCTTTTATAAGTACTCACTTGCTCAGGCGGAATAGGTAGGAATTCATTGGAGGTGGGTTTGTGGGTACCACATCCGCTTCATTACCGTCTGGACCTATTTCCTGGAAATATAGAATAAAATCTCTTCAATGCTTGCTACCTCCGTTGTCAACTCCAGTCAAGTATGTGGATATACTAAAAGACCCCTTAATTCTTTATTTCTTTCAAACCATATGGTTGTGGCATTTCCCCTTCACCTAACGTACAAAATCTATTCAATCAAATGTATTTTGGTGCTGAAAATTTGAAGCATTTTTATATTTTAATTGTGAAGTGTATTAAAATAAAGAAACAAGTATAATGCATTGTATGATAAATAAATATTATAACTATAATATACCCTGAGTGTTGCCCTGTGTCTCTCCTTCATGTGTCCCGCCAGGTATTCCTTCTTGTCAGTGCAGAAGTTACAAGAGCCACACCTGAAGGGTAGTCCTGACAGGTGTGTCTTCAGGTGTTCTATTAAAGTGTCTACATTGGCCAGGGCTGCTTTACACACCTGGAACACAGCAGCAACCAAGTCTATCAGCAACGGGGCACATGTGTGTGAGATGAACTTCATCAAGAGTTGAGATACATCAAAGTAAAGTTACAAGTTTAAATCATACTAATAAATTTTAGCTAAAACATATGATAGTTTTGCAAGGAGAGAGAGAGAGAGAGAGAGAGAGAGAGAGAGATCCACCAAACGAAAAAAAATAAGCATTAATCTCCTAATCCTACCCTACACTGATTTGGCTCCAACTGTTCAAACTTGTCATCCTCCTCTCCATCCTCCAAAGAGAAGTCCTCACCCTGTCCCTTGGCCTCATCTGAGGTCAGAGTGGTGACCACAGTGGTCTCTCCAGACTGACCATCCACACTGGTCAGAGCAGTGGACACAGCTGGGTTGTCTGAGGTCATCATCTCAGTGGTCACTCCATCAGCAGCTGAGGCAGCGGCTCTTAATACTCTGACAGACTGGTCCTCATTTTCTTCACCTTCCTTGGAGCTTGGCTGAAATTTAATTAAAAATATATTAAATGGAGTTAATGAGCTTCATCTTTTGTGAGAAGTCTGAATTGCAAACTTATACCACAACAACATGAAATTTGTTTTGTTAAACATATCTAATAGTGCAAATATTGGTTTCTTACCATGGCTGTTGTATTGTGTTGTGTTGTGATGTATACAGTTTCATCTTGTGAGCAGTCTAAATTGCAAACTTGTACCACAACAACATCAAATTTGCAGTGTTAAACAAATCCAATGTGACCAGGTTCTTACCTTGGCTGTTTCATTTGAAATCACTGAACCATCTTCGGAAGTAATCTGTATTTTTCTGCCATATCTGGGAAGATCTGCATCACTCTTGGATGTACAAGGAGTCCTGGAATGAAACATAGCCCTTATCAGTAATCTCCTAGAACTCTATGACTAACAATCCAACACGGACCACACACTGAATACATTATTTACATATCTTTATGGGACTATATCAGATATAGCAGAACCTAAAGACAGAATATACCACTGCCCATGTTATAGAAAACAGCTTGAAAATGTTAACCTCATTTTACTCTTTAACACCAGGCTCTGGGTGAAGTTCAATTTCAGTGATAGGTTTGTCTGTCAGCACCATACAGATATGTCCTACCTAGACTTGAGATGTCTGGTCAAGGCCCCGGACTCTGCAAAGGACCTCTGGCAAAGATGGCATATGTAAGGGCGGTCACCTGGAATATGACACAATAGAAATGCTTATAGACAACACAAGACATTCAGATTACAAAGATTCGGGGACTTCATTCTCCATTATGTAATTCTTTTATCTTGGAACTGTAGAAGAGCTCATATACACAAGGACTATCCAAAATCCAAAATGTTGAAAAACACATTACCAACAGTGGCATCATCAACAAAATCAAAGGAAAAAATATTGGTGTTGTCAAAATCAAGAAACTAATTCAATATTACAGTGTTTAAGTGTGTACTGACCAGTGTGCCTTCTCTCGTGTCTCTTTAGTGACCCCTTGGTCTTGAAGGCATAAGTACAGCCTTCAAATGGACATGGGAAGTCTCTCTGGTCACTGTGGGTTAGCAGGTGGGTCTTTAGCACACTCATCTGCAGCATAAAACCAGACATTTACCTCCTTATAGCATTTTATGGTTTAGATTTGGTAGCTGCTTTAACATATTGGAAATATATGTAGGAATTAAACCAGACGCTAAGATCCCTATAGCTTAAAATGGTTAAAATTTGGTATATATTTACTGTAGAATTCCTTATAGCTGGAAATGGGTCAGATTTGGTAGCTATTTACTTGAACATATTGGAAATCTGCAAAAACCTTCCTAGCTTGTTAGTGTTAATGGTTAAGATTTAGCAGATATTTATTTTAAAATATTGGAAATACTTATCAGATACTTTCAGTATCTACTAAATGAACAAAACAAGCAAACCTCTTTGAATTTGCTGTCACACACTTCACATGCAAATGGGCGGTCTTCATTTGAGGAGGTTTTCATTCTCTTCACTTGGAATACAGTGCTTTCAGGGCTTTCCATCTCTACTACAGGGGCAGTGCTGTTCTCCTCCTCTGCTGCTGCCTGGAGGAGTGTGGTGACAGCAGGACCCTTCCCTGTCTCTTCCTCATCCCGGCCTGGTGGAAAACAAAAGTATGTAGTCAGCTAGACCAGTAACTGATCCCTAAATCCATAGTTGTCATCTGTTTCTCTGTCTGTCACAGTTTGATATTAGCACAAAATGTGCACAGTGTGTGTGTGTGTGTGTGTGTGTGTGTGTTACAGTGTGTGTGTGTGTGTGTGTGTTACAGTGTGTGTGTGTATGTGTGTAACTGTGTGTGTGTGTGTATGTGTGTGTGTGTAACTGTGTATGTGTATGTGTGTGTGTGTAACTGTGTGTGTGTGTTACAGTGTGTGTGTGTGTGTGTGTGTGTGTGTGTGTAACTGTGTGTGTGTTACAGTGTGTGTGTATGTGTGTTACAGTGTGTGTGTGTGTGTGTGTGTGTGTGTGTGTAACTGGAACAGTGTGAAGGGCATGTAAAAAAATCTGCACCTAGCACACAGTCTTTTCTGTTATGTTTGGTTTTGGGCAGACAAAGAAAATAACATTTTATCAACAACTATATTTTTCCTTAATTATGTTGTAGTGCTGCCATTCACAAATACAATTTAAAGACAGCTTTACTTTATGTTCTTTCTTACCAATCTCATCATTCACTATTTCCCATGTTGAATCATGCTCTATGTCTAGATGTCTTCGCAGAGTAGCCTCTCTGTTGAAAGTTCGAGAACATTTTGGGCACTTATGAGATGTCTTCTCTACAATATTTTCTTGGTCCACTGAGAAGTAGGTTTTCCTTTTCCTTTTCTGTGATCCTGAAACAAAAAACAAATTTATTTACATAACAAAACCATGTCTGATTTTTGAAAGGTCAAAAAAAAAAGTTGGACCTGAAATAGACACCCATCAACTAAATGTGATAAAATTTAATGCCAAGCACCATGCTGTTTTCCATACAATATTTGCAGGTAAGAAGCAAGGGGTTTTCAAACACCACTTTATGGTTACTTTCAAATGACTAGTAACCACTGTGGTTGAGTGTTATATATCATGAGTATTACCTCTTGTTTCTCTCTCCTCATCATCTTTAGCTTCTTTCTTGATGAGCCGGGGAACCAGCACTCTCTTGTCTTTGGTTGACTTTTGATAGAAAACTCTGCAATTATCCTTGTCCAGTTTGTGCTTGATGAAGTCCTCAATACTGCCAAACTCCAATTTACACGTACCGCATCTGTGCGAGTCCTCTTCCTCTGAATCTAAATGTAAAAACATAAGTATCAGGTGACAGAGAACAGTACTGATAGCATTACAGAGTTAATTTAAATATATTCTGACATAAAACACCCTTTTGTAGCCAGTGTCTTATCCGAAGTCGCGCCAATCTCAGAAATCTAGGGTCCAAGCTAGATTGTGAGGGGTCGCCTCAGCTGGTTTAACCATCCGCCATCCATTTTGTAACCGCCTCTCAATTATTTTAACATATCGGCTAGATTGCGCAGTTCCCCCAACTACAATTATTGATTCTAAATAGCTTCATTGAAGAATTTTTCAATGACTGTATCATAAATTGAACCAGATGAGAAATAAGCAGACAGCCATCACGTACCTGGTGTTGTTTTATCGACAGAGGGATCGTCGCACTCCACGGCGGCAGACATTTTGCGACAACCTCTGCAAAGCGGGAGAAAGGGTAAAGTAAAACAAGGCACAATTTCTCTGGAACGGCTGTATTACAAAACCCGTTGTTAAAGCAATTGACCTAATATATGTGCTTAAGGAATAAAATTAACAAGAACAAAAACGTTGATATTTGTTTAAGCTCACTATTATCATTATACTTTTAAACTTACACATTCTTTTTCATCAGAATAATCTTTCAATTAGACTAACTAATCTTTTGGACATGCGCACTTCATATGCTTCGTCGTTCTTCATTCACATCTGTATAAAAATAATAAATAAATAAAAAGGCGAAAACATATTGACATGAATACACTTTCTTCTTTTATTCTAAGTGTATGAAAAACCTCTCATTTTAATTTCTCTCTAAAAAATTTGAATTTTCAAACTCAGTAGTTTTTGAAGAGCATTTATCACTTTACTGCAGCTGAGTGAACGGCTGCTTCCATTAATTTTTTTTTCAGTCATTATTAGGAAATATATAGGCAGGGGAACCAATTTCATTATATAAAAATAAAGCCTCTGAGTTATAACACAGGCTTTTTACTGCAAGATTAAGATGTTGGTCTACTTTATTTTTTTTAAATATGTTTCAAATATTAGCACAATGAATAAATAGAGAATTAAAAATCTAAAACAATTAAATATTTTAATCCAGCATATACTCGAAGACAGACGCCCATTCAGCTAGTCCTGCAAATCTCTAAATCTTCACCATTCATAATTCTCAGTACTGCAAAAATGCCCCAGACTTTTCTTAGTCATTTCTTAGTTATTTTTTCCATTAAATTTCTTTTCCGCTACATGTAGGCTACGAGGGGAGGGTTAAAATAAGGCCTATTTATTCCACCCTCTTTTTTTTCTTTTCTTTCCTTTTTTATTTTGATACACATTATCCTTAATTCGTAGCATTACACGGCCGTTTTTCAAATTTTCATTTATTCTATGTGTATTGTAATTGATTTCTCTCTCTCTCTCTCTTTTTTTATTTTATTTATTTATTTATTTATTTTTTTTTTTACTCTCCACCGAATTTCAAACCTCCCAACTCAGTTGTGTGAATTATCAAAAAATTATATCTTCGATCCGTCATTGTGAATAAATGTATTTCGATCGTGCTTTACATTGTTTATTTTACTTGTCCAAGGTCGTGTTATATATCAATTTTAAAAAAATGGATTCTAAAAGCAAGTTTCATAACATCCGTAAACTATTCACGTGATCCCCAAAGTAAATCACCTATAGACATGACGAGGTTCGTAATTAATTTGCACTATGTGCATTAAATTTAGTGTACCTCTCTATTTGAACATGAAACCTGGAAAAAATTATAAAATGACACTTTGCATAGCCAGATATTTAAGCATTTTTCCCGACCCGAAGTGACGAAAAGTTTTTTTAGTAACACGTAAAAAGCCTGAAATAAATGGAAAATGCCGGTAATTAAATAACTGATATTCCAGCCTTGGAGATTCGCTTTAAGATTTTGCTTTATTTTTTTATGGAAAATTAAATAAGTATAAATTGAGCTTTGTCTTGAATAGTATCGTTGACGTTAGACTGACGCTTAAACTTTGTGCGTCACACATTTTTTTAGATGAACACATATAGAATCGGGGTTTTCTAAGGCTATAACGGTCCCTTTTGTGACCAAAAACGAATTAAAAGCGTTTTTGTTTTCTAAGGCTATAACGGTCCCTTTTGTGACCAAAAACGAATTAAAAGCGTTTTTATGACAAAGCATTTGGCCAATTTAATCTCGAGACGATATATAATAAGCAAGTCTCGCTAGAAAATGGTCAAAAAGAAAACAACCTTCAATTGTAATTCTGTATATTTTTCAAAAGTTTTTTCCACTTTTCCATTAACTGAGTTTTAACTTGAACGTTTCGTGCCTTCATTTTATGACTGATCTCTTCAAGATTTGCACCTTCTAACTTAACGATTAAATCCTCAAAGGAATCATAATAAGTGATGTGAGGCCACTGGTAGAAATCTGCGTATTTCAGCCAATATTTGATGGCAGTCTTATTTGTCTCACAGTTGGGGTCAGGTACCCCCGGGACGACCCCGGGGATACGTGATCTACTGGGCCTCATCCCCCTCGTTCCATCCCAGGTCCGTTCATTTAGCACCATGTATTTATATTGCCACTCCGTTAACAAGTCTAGAGATGGGAAAAATAACGGAATACCCATGCGATATTGCTCAAATAAACTCATAAATGAGACTTGGTACGGTACATATACTATCCCTGGGTGAGACAGGAGATCTGTGAATTTATAGCTTGGATACAGCTCACGTAGAGGGACAATCTCCACCATAGAGGTTTTGCTGAGTTTCCTGAATTCTTCCAGGAATACATTCTGAAATTCCTTTTCTCTTGCGTGAATAGGTGCAAGAAGGTACTCGGTCCGTTTTATTTTGGTCGTGGAATACGTGTTGTTAACATAACCGCAAAAACTTTCCAAGACAATGGGTTTGATGCCCGTGAAGTAACGTATGTATTCTGCATCATAGCGGTTATTAGCAGCAACAATGTTCCGTGGGTCTTTTGCTATGTTGACAAGGTTTGCGTTCCATTCTTGCCATCTCTCTGGCTCTCGTCGTCCGAGCTCATAGCGCACCGTTGCTATCACGAGTAAGCTTCTGTAGAAAGGAATAAACAGCTCACACATAGCGGCGGGATGAAAACACACAAAGGCGTCCACGGTGTTCATCAGAGGGTCATTCTTGTAACTGTCGTAGAACGCCGCCTTGATGTCGTCCGGGAGGGGGATTCCATTCCAAGAGTTTAAAATCCGGAGCCCCTTAGCGCAGGTTCCTGTAACAGAGCAAGCGGCGGAGAGGCTCTGGTCTATGATCGTAACCCCCATGGGCTGCAGCATATTTTTAAGATCTCTGATGGGTGAAATATGGAAGTCATTTGACCAAATCGTGACGGGGAACGTTTCTCTCCCCGAGTGGCGGATTCGTCCCCACAAAATGTACAACATAGCTATAAATACTAAACACAAACCGAGCCTAGGTAGAATCCACGATCTTCGAGGAATCAGTCTGAAGAGCCATGCACCATTTTTCTTAAAATGTTTCCAAATTGATCCCAGTGCTGTTGACCGCATGGAGAGCGCCATGTATCAACATGACCCAATTACACACCTGAAACCCCCCTGACCTACTTACCTGTCAACATGTACCTGCACACCTGTGCTAATTGGATGGCGTTCTCAACTTGAGCGTGCTTCAACTTACCGCGCATTAATAACATTTAGATGTCTATTACATATGAAATTATATAAATTGGTTCAGGGGTAATGTGTTTTTTGTCTTTCCATCTTTTTGTTTTGGGGAAATTATTAAAAAATATTATTAAAAATCAATAAAACGTGGAATATTAAGAAAAAAATACAGATAAAGACAGCATGATCTAAACAACCATTTTTGTTGCATTATTCTATTATGTTATTATTATACCGTTCAGTAAAAATTATTTAATGCATATAAATCACTTAATTTCAAGGTAAATTAAACGATCGTTTTTATTATTTTGCGTCATTACAATTTTCATTTTCGTTCAGTAATAAATCAATACCAATGGCTCAGTTGAAAATAAAGTAAAAACGTGTTCATGCGTGATAAGGTTAACTTATTTTGTACATTTTTTTCAATCAGCTAAACGACTTGTGACTCGAGATGTTAATTTTTTTCGACAGATATACATTTTTCGCGAACAAAAATACAATTAACGTATTGTGCGGGCCCCTCAACAAAGTCGACCATCAGTCTAGCAAGTTCCAAATAAAAAAAAAACACGCCGTCTATATACCTCCTTAGACCGAACTCAATTCTTGTTTTTAGTCTGCATAAATGCCATTTTTATCATTAGAAAAACGAAAATTTAAAGAATAAGCACAAGATGCGTACACAGAAAACTTAAGAGAACGTGTGACCCTTTAATCATAGTACTTTGACCAATGTTTTTGATGCTCCTACGTTTTATTTCAAAAATTGTAGATATCCCCCGCTATCTTTTATTTCCTTCAAAACAGATCCATTAAAATAATCCCAGCTTCATCACATTACATTCCCCAGTCTGTCTCACATCTGGAACTTACTGATGCTTTCCTAATGTGACGAAAATAAAAAGGAGTCTTCTTTAAGTGGTGCTCATATTAAAAAGAAATGCATTAAGGAGCAAAAATGCTGCAGCTTGCTCTTGTGATAGACAAGATTAGATTTTTAGACCAAAAACATGCTAAGACATTGTTTGCGCGTGACTTAAGCAAAATGCATGTGAAAAGCATATAAATAGTGCAGAGAATTGCCGTCAATTTAACCGGAGACATCGGTGAATATCTAGTAAAAAAATCAATCTATGGCCCTGGTAGAGGGTACCTTAGGCACATTTAGTTATATCAAAATAATGAGACTAAACTAGACTCAACAGCTGTTGAATTAAATTTTATTTAGAGTGTGGAAAAAAATTACGCAGTACAAATATAAAGAAGGAAATAATGCAGATCCGACTTTCAGTACTATGAAAGATACAGATATCACTATAATATGAATATATTTATACCCAAAATTAATTTTGACATTTAATATAAAAATAAAAATAGTCTTGTAACTATAATATCTATAATGTTGCCTTATGGCAATATAATTATATTAGTTATCAACAGCTATGAGCACCACACTGTCACCTCTGATAAACAGCTGGTTAACGTGACGAGTGATATATACACAGCTGTTTCCCTGAGAACTAGGAATGGTCCTTGCACCTGCTTCACCTTCTTGGCTTTGAGGTGCTTTCCCTTTTGGATTCTTTACAGTGACAATTTTCTTCTCTTTCATTTTGTCCTTGTTTCCATGGCTTTTAGTATCTTTTATTTCCATCTTTTTTCCAAGCCTTGTTTCAGAGCTGGCTCTTCTTGGCAAGCCCTCTTTATGTCCAGATTTTACCTCCATCTTTGGTTGCCTGGGCAATGAACTTGACTGTCTCCTGCTGTCTCTATTTTTACTGCTCGTTTTTGATGAAGATGAACTTTTATGTGCGTCTTTCCTTTTATCTAATGTGTCTCTGTGGTGCTTCCTGTCATGCTTTTTTTCATTGTTTTGTTTTCTTGCATGATGCTTACTTGAGGATTCACCATGTTTTTTCTCTTCCTTATCATACCCTGGTTTATGATGAGAATGTTTAGAAGGCTCATCCTTTTTCACCTTTTGATCACTTTTAGCAGCACCTTTAACATCCTTTTCATCATTATCTGGGTCGTCCAAAATCTCTCCTTCTGACAATTCCCCTTCCTCTAGCTTAATAACCTCCTTTGGTACATCCTCAACATTACTTTCACTTTCACTTTTCATTTCTGCTTCAGCAAGATAAGCCAGTTCATGCTGCAGCTCTGCTAATCTAGATGTTAGGGCACCAACATCCTCATCATCACTTTCACTTTCACTATCAGCATCATCATCAATATTGTCTTTCACAGCACTTTCACAGTCATCCAAACCAACAATATTATCATAAGGCTTGACACTCTTTGGTTTCTCAGCATCTTTCACTTGAGTTTCATTGTTTGTTGTTTTATCAATCTGATTTTCATCAGGATAGATCTCTTCTTTATTTTTATTTCCATGAACTTGAATGATTTGAGATGAACTGTTTCCAGTATTTTCCTTTAAGTTGTTTTCCACCGTTCCTGACACTCCACCATTTACATTGGCTGTGGGTTCTTTACGCACCTGCATAAGCATAAAATTGTTTTAATATACAGGATATCCTTTTCTTTATTATTCTGGTACAAGATAGAAATAAGGAACTTTTTCGTTGTTTACATAGCTAGAATAATAATTCTAAGACAAATACAAAACTACCAGATAATATTTTTTTGTTAAATTCACCTTTTCATGCCTTTTTCTTTTCTTTCTTCGTTTCCATGGCTTTGCATATACTTCATCAACATCTTGCATTGCCTTAACAGACACAAAAATTTCAGATCTAGCATATTAAGTGATTATCTGTTGATTATTGATATAATACATTAACCTATAGAGTTTTCATAAATCAAGTTTCAATTATTGGATCATTGTTTTAATTGTGTAGGCTTAACCAATTTGCTGTCATATATTCGAAAGCAATACATAAACAAACAAATAAATTAAATGATTAAACTTTTAAAACTTCAATAGGGAATATTTTCATGTATTGGAATAGATTATTTAATTAGCACAGCATTTCATGTGAGAGCACTCTTATTGCTAGTTTCTGGTATATATATATGCAAAGGTATTAGCAAAAATAGTACACATCAGAGATTGTTTATAAAGGTGCATGACACTTTGATTACTTACTAAATTAAAATGTGTGTCAAAGGCTATAACGTATCCTGAACATATTCCCCTCACATGTTTGAAACTTCTAGTCAGTACTTTCACTTTCTTTCTCTCCTTGACACACCTCCGCAGCAAACTGAATGGTCCTTTGTGGTGCTCATCTGTTAATACAAGGTTAAGGCATTCTATAGTAATATATATTGATAAAAAAATATGGCTGAATGAGTTGCCTAAAGTGCAAACATAAGAAATTGCTCTGAAGTAATTAATTTTTTTTTTCTTTTTATTAACATTTTTGTAAAGAAGATGTTTGTCTACGGGCATGACATGAACTGCAAGACACACAAGAATTACATCTTAGAATTTAACTAAAGAAAATAAACTTTGAAATCTAAGGCTAAATCAAATTCATAAGAAAAGAAATAATATACCTTCCATTCTTGACAATACATTTCTGTCCACTCGTCTGCGATTTTCGGCCTGGTCTTCATCTTCAGGTTTATCTGTCGATTCACTTTGACGAATCTTGGACTGGCTTTGCAATTGCAGCTTTAGGATGCGCTGCGCATTGGCCTCTCTTAGCAGCCTTGCTTTGCCGGGTTGTGCCTGTCGTTTTTTATTTGAAACACTATCAAATTCAGCGAGGTTATTAAAAGGGTTTACATTTTTGTCTGGAACTACTGTGCTATCGGAATATAATGCAATTAATGGGTCAAATTCACTAGACGTGAAATCAACTGTTGCTCCAGGGGCATTTAAACCTGGAGCTGTATTTAAATCATATTCCTGGGTAACCTTAGATCTATCATGCTCCATGGGCGCTGCCATTTTAGCTAACTTAAGCTTCATACTTTAGTTATACTTTTAATATGTTGAACTATTGCAAAGATAGAACTACTATAATGAAATATAATAAAAAAGCCTAATCTAAATTATTTTTATACCCACATATTGACTTTTTATTAATATAAAGTATCTTTTCTGTTTTTGAATTACATATCAAAACTAAAAATTGAATGTACTGCTAGCTCCCTCCATGGTAACCATTACACTTCCGGTATAGCTGACATTAGTTCAAATTTGGACATTTCTGAAATATGCCCCCTAAAAAGAAAAAGGGAGGTAAGAAGAAGGGCAAAGGAAAGAAAGGAGGTGCTACACCTGCAGGTGGGGAAGAAGTACCTCCAACAGAAAAGGAAGTATTACTTAAACAAGAGTAAGTGTACCTGAATTACAATCTGGACATCGTGTCAAAGGCTTTTTACCTCTATACAGTACTTACTGTTATTGATGTCTTTCAGACGGTTTGCATCTCTGGCTTTAAGATGGCATGTAAAGTGGTTCTGTTTGTAATGAATCAAAAACTTGTGTCAACGAACATTTTGCAAATTTTCAATATATATACCCATGCAAACAGAAAGCAGAGCACAAGCTAATCGCAAGTTGCCAGTGTAATAGAGTCCATTAAGAATTTCATATGACTAAACTATTGGCGACTGTGTGTCTGCCCAAACGTCCTTTCTGGACATTTCTCCTTGATACTCTTTAAGTTGTCTTAGTGATTACCATCATCAAATCGATATCTGAGCCTGATTATCCTTTAACGAGCCAACCCCACCACTTCTATGACACAACCACTATTGTTCTTGTCGGTGGCCTTTGATAAGGATCCACCATCATTAACCCTTTGTCGGTGAGTCCTGATATGGCATTATTAACCCCGATACTCCTAGTGCAATCCAATTTGCATGTTACAAGTATGTCCAATTGAACATGTAACTTGTAAATTGCTGATATGCTCTGTCACCTGTTAGGTATGACAGCCCGACTGGCAGCCACTAAATTCTTATGCACTTGAAAATGTGTGACCCAACTGTTAATGTTGGAGTGCACCTGTAGTAAGAGAAGTTCACTGAATTATCCAATTTAAGCTTACCCCCAGTGTGATAAGGTCTAAAATTAAGTCTAATTTTATTATATCAGTCACTGTGAGAATATTTTTGAGTGCATTTATTTTAGAGAAATTTTTTCTGTCTTTTGCAGACTTGACAACTTGACAGAGGAGCTAGAAAGAGTAAAGAAAAAAGTGGATGAAATGTATCCTTTTCAAATACACATTTATGTTATTCAGTAGAAAAAAGAAGCATTAGTATGAACATGTTTATGTGGTATTGATTTTGTCTTATTAACTGAATTTAATTTAATTTTCCTGATAAGAATGCATTGAGTAGTGTCATTTTAATGTAAGAATCTACATAATTCTTAAAACATTTAACTGGGGATGTTTTAACCTTAACTATTATGAAGGCGCCAAGAAAATGAATGGCTGCAACAGGAAGCACACAAAGTCAGAGTGGAAAGCGTAAGTACATTGTGCCTAGTTATGCTTTATAACAAATTTCTTCCCAAATCATTAAAACATACAATTTTTAGAAAGTAAAAATGAGGCAACATTCAAATTAAATGACGTGAATATATACATTTTTTCAGTGTCGTAAGTAATAATAGAAATACACATTTTAAAATTGAAAGTATATTAGCTTCTGTTTTATTCCCCTGTAGCATGAGTACATGAACTACATGCAGAAGAAGACCAGTAAGAGGCAGTCTCTGATCATCTCCCTCAGTGATCAGAACCAGCAGGAGATTCAGAACATCCTGGAACAGAAAGCTAACATGCTGCAAGAGTATGAAGAGAAGAAGGCAGGTGGGTAATTGTGGCAATGTGAGAGGTTTTATCCTTATTCTATTATTTATTTATTTATTTATTTATTTATTTATTTATTTATTTATTTATTTATGCTTTCATTTAGTATCATTTCAGATTAAAGTAATTACTTGCAGGATTTTATCATAACAAAAAGTGAACATTTAACAAATTTCCCCTGGTGTACTCACTGGCATTTTTTTATTAATATAATAATGCCTGAACATTGTTTTAGTGAATTTCAAAATAAAAAAAAATCCCATAGTTACTTGATGGTATATGCACTTTGAAAAAAAAGTAATTTTGGAGAGGGGGTAGTGATTTCATTATTTCGGTTGGGGTCAAACATGCCTTCAGAGTCCAGATTATTTAATTGCATTGGAAATATTGTATAGATGTATTTTCTTTGTGGATGTTGGTATAAAAACAAATGTTCACAAGAATATTTTATATTATATTTCAGGTTTAAGATCAATACTCATGGAAAAAGAAAACTTGCTGTCCAAGACCAAACAAGAGCTGGAGGATTTACAAGAATACAAGGTTTGTTCTCTGATTTCATGATAGCTTATCAAAATATATTTGCAATCATATTAACACTTAATTTGGGATCATAGATATGTTAAGTAGTTATAGAGAAGTATCAATTTATTATAGTTCATTCATTTGAAAAAAATAAGGAAAGTCTTCAGTAAAGTACAATTTCAATAATAGATATTTTAATGTATTTTTTAGAACTTACAAAAAGACCAGCTGTCAAAGATTAAGGAGCTGGAGAAAGAGGTGCAGAAAATGAGAGGGGTGCACTCTGACACCATACAGAAGCTGAAGTCCGAGTTCCTCAAAGACAAGCGTGAATTTAACCAAGACTCCCAGAACAGAATATCTTCCCTGAAGGCACAGGCAGACAAGGTTGTTATTCTGCTGTGATAGTTCATATGTCAAACATTTGTAACAAAACCTTTTTCTCTCTCTCTCTTTATCTCTTTATTCCATGGTATGAAATTGTGGAGGTTCTGTGCTGACAATTCACACACCAAGCTTTTCCATTCCTCTTGGTGGTGTGCCAATTTCAGGGTCTGGGTAATGTTTGTCCACTCACTAATGCCATCTTTCCATAGTTCCCTGTCTGCCTCTGCACCTCATTACTTCACCCAAGCCATGGAGCATTGTTTTAGCAAGTCCATTGACCACTACATTGGTGTAAATACATTGAAACTTGCACACACAACTTTATTTAGATTTATCAGAAAAAATGAACATATATTTTAGAGCTTTATAGAAAATTATTTTCATATTTTGAAATATTGTCATAATTTTATGATCCTCATTTGATATTCTCCCTATGTTGCAGGAAGCCCTGCAGTGCCTGAACGAACACACCAAAAGGATTAAAGAGGAGAACAGAGAACTGCGTAAAAAACTTTTCAGACTCATTCAGAAAACGCGGGCTCTGCACGAGCACAAGAAACAGTTAGAGGAACAGAAAAAGGAACTGTTACGAGAACAGCAGTATGCTAGGGACTTGAAGAAACTACGACAGACACGTCAGCACAAGGTGCTGCAGTCGTTTGGTTTGTTGGAGGAGAGGGAGGAGAGTTCTGAAGACCCAGAACTGCTGCAGACACCCTCCACTAGAGGGTAGGGCAGTGCATTAGACAAGACAAGCTGGTGGTAACAGCTAGCCACAAGGTCAAAAGCATAAAAAGTTCCCAAATATTATTTGTAACTCTTTGGTCAAAATGTGGGTTTGTGTAAATTAGTTTATTGTGAAGTATTTGAGTGCAGGTGAGGAAATTTGTTCCGATGACTACTTTTTTTTTAGGGCTCAAGGTGAAATAGATCAAATTAGTCATAGTCATTTGCATGTTTAGGACCACCAGTAGACATTGGCACCTGTCCTCAGACAGCTGGTCATACCAGGTCAGATATGTCTAGGTGCTGGGTGGACTTCCTTAGCTTTACTCTTTTCTACTCCACTGTGGTAGTAACACTGGTAACATGGGAAATGGCAGAAATGTTTGCCAAGATATTATGTTGTACATAATGATGTACATAAACCTGATTAAATAAAAGAATGTCACAAATCACAATCAATTCGAAAATACATTCAGTGAATTTTTTTAAATATGTATAATATTAAGATATTTTTTTTCTGTATTAATTGGAATCAAAGCTAAGTTCAAAACTTTACAGCCCTTGGTATAAATTCAACAGACACCCAAAACCAAGATGTTTTCCTAGAAAGTATTTATTTCTACATAGAAATTTATTTTTACAAAATTTTACAAGACACTTTCTTAATTGTCACCATACAGCTCTAAACATTAAAAAATTGACATGACAAATAGAAAAGGTGGCATCTTCCAACAATAAAGTGAAGTGAACAGTTGAATCTCCATCTTCTGCTTAAAATTATTGCACCTTTTTTTGTGAAACTGCTGGACAAAACTTCAACACAAATATCAAATAACATTTGTAATTTACAGCAAAGAAAAGTTCACATGATAAGCGTACCTTAAAAAATCAATACAGATAAATACAGTACAATAAAAGCTGTTTGTATTATGTATAAAAAAACTCATACCCTGAGTGAACAGTTTATTACTTGTGCTGCTGCTCTTTAAATACAGATTGTTATTTCAAAACCCCACCATCTTTAAACATGCTTTAAAAAGGTTAAAATATAGGTTAAAAAATAACATTACTGTGCCAAATTTCTGGGGAAAAAATGACTAAAATTTGTAAACTAAATTATCACAATGTGTATGATTCTCCATAATTCTGCCCACAAAAAGTTAAAGAATAAAACAGTACTGTCTGTAGCTCCTAGTGGACAGATTGTATTGTAGATAATATGCTGGTATGGAATGTATGCTGATTACTGTCACTCTACAAGGCCTTTAGAATATTACAATATAAAAATTTCAATCATGTAGAAAAACATGAACATTTTTACATGACTATACATCTAGTTAATTACATACATTTCGTGAGGTACATCTAATTTCAAATTAAGCAATGACCTTCTGCTAGAATAACTTTCCGAATAAGCTAGTGAACCAAGACTCGAATGAATTCAGTTACCATGCAAGTGTATCACAGTTGAGAAAAAAAATGACACTCAGAATTCTAAAAGCAAATGTCATCATCATCATCATCGTCACCATCATCTTTGCCATTAGCGACAGGTTTAGATTCAATCCTATCACGACTCTGTCTCCTTGAAATAGCCTGGAAAATAACAGATACATGCCTAATAAAAGCAAAAATATAATATCATAAAGTAAGGTATTTTACATGACTTTAAAATTAAATCTACTAATATCATTTTAAACATTTATTTGTTAACACTTCCAGCTTTTGTCTTAGCACAGAATGTGATTTAATAACGATAGCAGAGGAAAAAATTTTTACCGGAGAACGCCTGGACCTTGGGGTGTCCCTGGGGGACGGCTTGGCTAAAACAGAACGATAAAATGCAAACTTAAATATTTACTGTGGTATAATGTTAGAGTTACATAATTAATTCCCCCTTAAATTACTTTTTAAAATATATAATTTTGTCTTTGATCTCCTATTCACCTGATGATGGTCTTGAAGGTTGCTTTCTGGACGGAGTGACAAAATCCTCTTTATCCTCGTCCTCTCCCTCAGAGTCCAGACCATTGGTCACTGGATAGGAACAAAACAATGATTTTTTTTAGTCATTGTTAAGAAAGGTTGGGGTAATGAATGAGTAATATTACAAGATAAAACTTTTCATTTTCTACACAAAGTGCTTAGTCTCAGTAACCCACACTGAGGAAATTCTGGAAGCTTTTTAAGATATAGTTTTAATTTAGTGTAGAAAATAAGAAGTTTAATCTTATACCATGATCAACAGAATACACAGATAAATTTCCATCAGAATGGGTAAAATTATTCTCCAAAAATGTCATGATTTTCAAACATTCATGAAGGAAATCAGTCATAATAATTTAAAATTGTATTTTTCAAAATATGTACTCAACAAAAATATACAATATTCCTAATAATTCTCTGTCAGTTACATAAACAGTGTAATCTTACTGAGTCTGCGCGACTGTGCACTGCTGCGCCTGGAAACATGGGGAGAGGCCTTGGCGCTGCTTGGTCTTGATGACCTTGGTGAGGTCCGCGTGCTGCCTGGACGAGATCTAGAACGAAAAGCATGTGTCATATAAACAACAATATCTCTAACTACAAAAATGTACTTTTCATCACATTCAGACAGGTATTTTGTCCAAGAAGCTGCAAAAAACAACATTCATCCTCCTAAAAAATTTTAATAACATCCAGGTTGCCAATAAGTAATACATATCATAAATGTGCGCGGGGAGTTTCAAGACAACTATGCAACAGATATAAGCACTAAAAAGTTCCCTCAATAAAAATGATTGCTTTTATTCAGAGAATTTAGCATAATGATGGCATCAGATGATTCCTGGCCAAACAAAATGGCTGTCAGTATGGTGTGCAAGCTTGCTGCATAACTGGATTTAAAAGCAATTAAAGTGTCTACAAACCTTCAGAACTCAGAACCGTACCTTAGAGATGTTTGTAAATTATATTTCCTTGCCAAGTGGCCGCGTGCAGCAGACTGAATCAACAACGCAGCCTCGTCTGTTTCAGCCTCCTCTTGTTTAAGAGCACTACACACAAGACAAGACACACAAGAAGAAATAAATAGGTAGAAGTTTGCAAAACTACTTAGAAGGTGATAGTGACTATATGTGTATAAATGATATGTAAATGAAACAGTTAAAAGAATCACTGAAAATGTGCAACAATCTGCCTGGCACAAATTAGAAAATGAAAAGACTTTGAAAAACTGACAAACTTTGTGCAGAATCAAATCTAAGCAAATGGTGAGTATACACAGAAAGGTCCACAATATATAACACAGGTATGAAGAGATGGTGGCATAGTTATAGGCAGGTTAAGTGGGAATAATGTAAATCACCTGGTTCAGTACAAAACACTAGAACCAAGCTAACACGTTTAATGTTGCCATGTTATTTAATTTGTCCAAAAGGTGAAAATTTTGGTTTTCTGACTAATCCTGGGATTTAAAAAAAAAAACCTTTTAAATCAGATTTGAAATGTTATATCTTAAATCTGCCTTTAAACATGAAAATACAAGATATAAAATCACTGAGGTTAACGTTGACAAGGACTTTACCTGTTTCTCAGCTGATCTTTCCTTGTCTTGTGTCCTCTGAGAGTGGACTGGATGAGCATGACATCCTCATCCTCTGTCTCCTCCTCATCCTCATCAACCTCTTCCTCAATATTTTCTTCATCTTCCTCCTCATCCCTGTATCTGCGGAGCTGTTTCCTTCGGTTGCTATGGCCGCGGAGTGCTGACTGGATGGTCTCAGCAGCCTGGGAAAAGGAAAGGTTGGATCAAAAATCACAATGATCACATCACAACAACTTTTTGATATGGCGACCGAGCTGTAGACATCGACAATGATACACTGATGGGAGATATAGGAATGTATGTCGTACAAAATCTTTCTGGTTTTCTTTTTTTTTATCTCACTGCAAAGACAACATCCAGCTACATTCATCCGGGGATAAAGAGAGAGACTTTAATCTTTGGTAATAAATTACTTTGATAATATTTTTGTTATAATAAAAAATATCAGTTATTTCAACCATTTTGCTTTTCGTGGTCTATTTTTTAAAAAGATTTATCTTGTCCATTATCACACATGAATCTTTTGTCACAAGCATATTTATCAAAACAGATAAGCAGCAAAAATTTGTTTAAAGCAATATGGATTTGTTAACCAAGGCAAAGCAAAGCACTTGATTCAAGTATTTTCCATTAGGATAGTTATTTGGTCATCAAAGCAAAATAAAAGTTCAGATGGTTTTATTAAGAAAAATAAAAAATTTGCAGAGAAATGGGAGAAGGGGTGAAGGTAAGCAGCAAGCCATTTTATATTTGGTGTTTTCACAGTCTAATGTGTCAAAAAACATATTTGTTTTTTAACAATGTGTTAGATTAAAACTGTATGAGCACTCATTCACTATTTATCATGCTAAAATGAAATCGTTTTGCTGAGGGCCATTCCACTGTATTCACTCTCAAGATTATCTCTTCGAGTCCATAAAACTTTTCATCTCTTCAAATACATGTTAAGGAAAATGCCCTTGAACTGAACTGGTTTGATAAAAGTGATCCTTTTTTTTTTTTTTAATGTTACGATATGAAAACATAATACTATGGGATGGCCTTTATAACAGTTAGTATTTTGGTATTAAATAGTCTTTTATTTCACTTTTTAATTTCTTTTATCAAATCAAAGAGATCAGCTATATTACAATATAACCAAAGGTACCTGGTCCCCATGGCCAGCAACCAAGCAGTGCAGAATGTATGCAAGGGGTTATTGTGAAACCATGACACTGTGAGTAATATCACAGATAAACTGCATAGCACATTGTCAGACTATTATCAAGCAGGGCAGTGAGGTTAGCTGACAGTGTTATGTGGCAATCTGTTATATAAAGCATTCAATACAGCCACGCTGGCACGCAGGCAGTCAATGCACACACCCACAATAGCACGTGTGTTAGCATGCAAACCCAAACAGAACATACTTCATCATCTTCTCTCTCTATCTTTATCTGCTGGTAATCAAGCCAGCCTTTCTGGATTCTCCTCGCAGCCCGCTGCTCACGAAACTTTTCCACCTGAGCTTTCCGTTTCTAAGAGGAAAGTACATTACAATATAACAGTGCTTTTTGATTCAGACCTGCCTGGAAGAAATTGTGTCACAGTGGGAAAGGACTGAACACTTTGAAATGTCTTGGTAATTCTATAATGGTT